AGTCAGTCTTCGCGACTCTAGAGTCAGTCTAGCAATCATGCATTCGAGCAACTGAATATTCATATTCGCAAATTCGTAATTCGTTTTTCGTAATTATTGTTCTGCCGCTATCGTTGTCGAATTTTGTCTCTGCGCGTTCACTTCGTGAAGTCCGTGTGGCATTTGAGAGCATGTGTAATTATTTTGCATGATCGCTATTTAAAGCATATCCGCGATCTCTCGCGCTACCGTTGTACAGCGTGTTCGCGGATATTTCGTATCGAACTGTTATTTGCACAATACGAGAGGGAACCCAAAAAGAAGCGGATTTTTTGTACAAAAACTTTATTTATTAACTTTTTTACAAAATCTCTTCAGTCACCTTTAAAGTACTTTCCATTAGATGCGATGCACTTGTCGAGTCTTTTTTCCCACTGTTTGAAGTATCTTTGGAACTCTTCAACTTTGATATCGTCCAGTGCCCTTTGCGAAGCTGTTTTTACCGCCTCCACATCATCAAAACGCTTCCCTTATAGATTTGTCTTCATTCTCGGAAACAGAAAAAAGTCGCACAGGGCTAGGTCTGGTGAATACGGAGGGTGGGGAACGACAGGCCATCCCCGAGAGGCCAAATAATGGGTCACTCGTAAGGCCGTGTGTGCGGGGCCGTTGTCGTGATGAAGGAACCAGTCGCCTGATCGCCAAATTTCCGGGCGTTTCCTTCGCACATCCTCTCGCAGACGTTTTAAAACTTCCAAATAAAAGTGCTGGTTAACAGTCTGGCCAGGGGGAACAAATTCCCCATGCACAATTCCACGAACATAAAAAAAGACAATGATCATCGTTTTCACATTCGACCTCACTTCTGTCTTGCTTTTTTTGGTCTGGGAGAGTTGGGAGTCTTCCACTGGCTTGACGTTTGCTTAGTTTCTGGGTCATACCCGTAACACCAACTCTCATCACCTGTAATGACTTTGGTGAAAAGGGAAGTGTTTTGATGATGTGAAGGCGGTAAAAACAGCTTCGCAAAGGGCACTGGACGATATCAAAGTTGAAGAGTTCCAGAGATGCTTCAAACAGTGGGAAAAAGACTTGACAAGTGTATCGCATCTAATGGAGAGTACTTTGAAGGTGACTGAAGGAATTTTGTAAAAAAGTTAATAAAGTTTTTATACAAAAAATCCGGTTTTTTGCGTCCCCCCTCATACAGATTTATTTTACAAATCTTCACTACAAATATAGAACCTTGCAATGCATCAGGAGACATGAATGTTCAAAATATTTTCGATAACAATGAATAATTTCTGTCGTAGTGCTTCGCATCGGAGTCCGCATGGTGGGTGTGCGACGAGGCTATCCAGACGTTGGGCGGAATGGGCTTCATGCGCGATTGCGGTCTCGAACGCGTGATGCGTGACTTGCGCATATTCCGAATCTTCGAGGGTACAAACGACATTCTGAGGCTGTTCGTAGCACTTACGGGAATTCAATATGCCGGTAGCCACTTGAAAGAGTTACAGAAGGCCTTCAAGAACCCCGGCGCAAATGTAGGTCTGCTCTTCGGAGAAGCTACCAAGCGAGCGACCAGAGCAATCGGCTTGAGCTCAACGCCCACTTTTACGCACTTGGTGCATCCGAAATTGACGGAAAGCGCTGTACTTTGCTCGAAGGTAAAGATCACGAAGATATATAGGGTGTCCCCATAAGTATAAGAACATTTGAATATATCTTGGCGGTTAAATATGGGGATCTTAAAAACAATCGAAGAAATGGCCGTAAAAAAATATTCCTTCCACGGTATTCCTCCTTTGAAACCATTCAAATTGCTCTAAACATATTTCTCATATAATTAAAAATAAAGTAGGTGTTTAGGTGTTCCCCTTGTGCTGGGACATTCTGTATAAAGATTGCAAAAATGAAATTATAAATATACTTTGATTTTCAATGACACTGCTGTTGATTCAAGATTTATTTCAATTATGCGCGCCGTTAAAAATTGTATTGACTCAATGGCATTTTATTTTCTCTCAGTCAGCTCTTATATTCCAAAAATATTCAAAGTGGTAATTGGTTATTGCCTCACCCTGCATACACATACATAATTGTTAACCAATTATATTGCTGTTACTCAGAACGTGGAGGCTTTTGGTCAAACCATAGAAGCCTGCCTCATAAAATATGGGCGAAACATCGTCGACGAGCAGTACGTCCTCAACAGGCTCACGCAAGCCGCGTTCGACATGACAACGATGGCGATTGTATTGAGCAGAGCGACTAGGTCGTTGAACAAGAATCTGCCCAGTGCGGAGCACGAGCTCTTGATGGCTCAGACTTGGTGTGTGGAGGTACGAACTTTGTTGATAGGTACAATCACGTCGGTGATGATGCGAATGCACAGAACGTTCGCTTGTCGATCGTCGAATACACGATTTAACACCTGTTTCAGGCATCTAGCCGCGTCGCCTACAATCTGCAGAATGCCACCTCCGCAAAACAACTGGACATATTTAGCAAACTAAGCAAAATTTCGAGAAACGTGTTCGATGTCGGCGGAAACGTCCAGTTGAACCCTCTAGGCTTTTAATAGTACCGTAAATTTATTTTGAAATGATTTTATTCGGTTTTGCTGCTGTTGCGTCTTGGAGATATGAAAAAAAAATTGTTTTTCATATAACGTAGGTAACTGTCATTGTAAAATAGGTAGTAACTTTTCTCAATATTTTGTTATCTTTGATTATCGTTAGTTCGATTGAAATGACCTGAAAGTTTTTTGAGGGTTTAACTGTAGAAATAATAGAATCAAACGAAAAAAGGCTGAATCTAATAATAATTATTTTTTCTTTTTTTTAAAGGGACAAATTAAATGTTTCGTTTCATTAAAATGTTTTCTTGTAACAGGATAAAAAAAAGAATATCGGTATCCGGTCATCTTTCCTCCAAAATCAACTTTCGTGTGAAATACTGTCGCTCTTCGTAATCGAGTGTAAATATCTTCCACGAAAACTTGGACAGCTTTGACAGATTAAAATAATTAATAATACAAATAAATAAAACTCGTAAGGTATAAGACATAAGGTGTCCAGATGTATATATATAAAATTATGTATTTTTTAATATTCGTACCTTTACACGAAACAACGATTTTCAAATAAACAGTTATAAATAATACGATCTATTTGACGTTAGAGATGTGTTTATTCATTATATATCCATCATTTTCGTTAAAGTAATAAAAATAATCGTTCAATATAGGATCACACGTTATAAGTCGTCTTTTACATAATAAATTAAACGAAAGACTTTAAATGGGAGAAGTGTATCGTTATCGCATATACATATCTATATAATCTTATCTTATACATTTAAAAATATTTAATTTATATAATATTACCGTAGCTGTTTTTTTTTCTCTTTTCCCACTTAAAGAAACTTTTCGGCACGGAGATACGTGAAAAAAGTGTATCATAAATAGGAAGCTACAATCGTCAATCATAATAAACCGATCGCTCGTTCTTCTAATCGTTAAATGCATAATTCAACAATATCACAACATTATGCGAATATAAAGATGCATTTTTTTTTTCTTTCCCATTATCCTTTTCCATTGTATCTTATCCGTTCGTAATGAGTGGAAGCACACTGAATGTCTATATAGGTTCCGTCTCTTAATCTTTTTTTTTTTCCTTTTAAGATGTACAACATCCGTACATGAGATATTAGATAATTGGTGTAACGTGGAACGAAACCGAGGCGGCGGGCGGGGAAACACGGAGAGCTGCACAATTCGCACAATGCGGTATCGCGTTGCTTAAGTTTGAGATCCAAATTGTCTTCGCTCCTCTCTCTCTCTCTCTCTCTCTCCCTCTCTCTCCCTCTCTCTCTCGCATTTTGCGCGATCAACGAACCCATTTAATCCTCAATTAGTCGCGCGACGATCGCACGATAATCGGCCAGCCGCTCGAGTGCGACGTATAGAGAATACGCTGAGCGAGGGGTCGAAATTATAAACTACGTTACGTTGTGTTCTCGCGCAGTGGTGAGTCCGGCGGAGTGAGATTCGTTGTTTATTGCTTGAAATGAAATCGAACATCACGCGACGGGTCGCTCCGGTGTGCCGTCCACCTGTCCCACCCGCGACACAGCGGGGAACGTAACGCCGATAATTAGAGAATTTCAGCCGAGCGCACGACTAATCGAGGTTCGATCGTCGACACGTCTGTGAAAACTCGCGAGAAGAAAGATTCTCGCCAAACGCTGTCGCAAACGTTACACGCACGTGAACGGGTTCGTCGTGGTCTCTCTATCCATCTCTCCCCCTTTTTTTCTTTCTTCTTCCCCCTTTCCAGCTTCGAGAAGTGCATACGAAAAACTGCGATTCACCGAGTCTTTCAAACGAGCACTCGACGAGGTCTCGCTCAATTTCCATCCGGTGGCAGTGGCTGCTTTACTCGCATTCTTACGACGACTCTGAAAGCCGAGCTTGGATTCTCAAACTTGAAGCCGCCGAGAGCTTGAACACATAACGCGCGAGCGCTCGAGATCAATCGGCCAATTTGTCTGGCTCACCTCGGACGATGACTCGACGACGCGAAATTAACGCGCGACGAGGTCTCTCGATTACTTTTGTCTACACCTCTGTGAAGCTGGCCCCATTTTTTCCAAATTTGGAAAAAATCAGCAGAGTTCCGTTGCCCCCCCCCCCCCTAAAAGCTCTAGTCAATTTTATAAAGAGTTTTGTCGATCGAGGTGGCCAAAGCACTTTATGAGAGTATAAGAGGCTGACTTTACGATTGTGTAACTTCAAAGTGCCGTAATTCTTTTACTTTAAAATTTAGCGCTTCGATTCTTAAAGGTAATCGATAGAACTCTTCAGAGGCTACCAGAACTCTCAACGGTATGCCAGAATTGCAAAAAAAATTTCACCCTTTGCTCTAATGGATATTTTACTAAAAATATAATGAAATTTTACTAAAATGTACTTGAAATTCTCTCTCGACTTCATTTTATTATTATTCCATTAACATTTCAGTAAAAATTCAGTTTTCAGTTAAATTCAATAAATTTCAGGTCTAGTATTTCAAAAAATTTGTTATTATATTTTAACAGTATAATTTAACTTTCCTTATATTTCACAGTATTACATAAAACTTCACAAGGAAAATTGATTCATTTTAAAATATCTTCAGTAATTTTTCAATAACTTTCATTTAATTTTTCATCGATTCCATACTGCTTGGAGCAAAATATTCCCATCAGAGTAGAACATGGGACATGTCGGTAAAAAAAAACGTCGGTGTGTGATTTTCTTTAAAAGGGTGAAGATTTGTTCGAAATTTTAGCGTTATGTTGAGAGCTCTGGTAGTCCTCCAAAGAATTCTATCGATTATCCCAAAATTTAAGGTATAAAATGGCATTTTGAAGTTACACAATCGTGAAATTGGCCTCCCCTTTTCACATGATGATTCAACCACTTTAATCGATGGAATATTTCTAAAATCGATTAAAAACTCTTTGGGGAGCAACCAGGACTTTGGTAATTTTTTTTTCAAATCTCGAAAAAGTGGGATCGACTTCACAGAGGTCTTGCCTACGAGTGCAAAGAAGGCGACAATGGGAAGGCGGCGAGGGAGGCGTGGGTTTACCTACGAACGTTGATAGACATCGTAACAATGGCTGCGATTTGTGTGTAACCTCTGAGAAAAATAGAACATCTGACTATCCTCTTTGCACGTTCGTTACTCCAGGTATTATAATCTTAGTCGGTTGAAGGGAGATTCTCTCAAAGAGAGACCGAGGGAGAACACCGAGTCGTGCATTCCCCGACGGAGTCGTAGCTCGATCGTCTCCTCCTCACCGGCTCTGCGTTCCCATGTATCGTCGCTTAGGTTTAATAAAAGTTGCCGTTGTTCGTGTTACGCTAAAAGCGAGAAACGGACGAAACCAGGTGACGAAAAGTGATGATAACTTCGTGGAAACACTCAACGTGCGAGTGGGACCTCGTTGTCGCGCTCTTCGGAAGGCGCGATCGTCGGAATCGCACATCACACAACACACGCCGCTATATACAGCATACACAGTTTTACACAACAGTATCGCTACACGCGCAGCTATTCCGACTAAAGACAGCTATCTCGGTAGGCCGTCCGAAAAACAATCAATTCTCCTCTATTGTCACACGACTATCGTCGATTCCGACGAACGCGCCTCGCGAGCGGACGCGACGATCAAGTCCGGGTTTTGCGTGCATTAGTCCGGATCTGCAATAACGAACCTCATTTTGCGATAAGAGTATAAATCACCGTAAGAGTACGCGGTATGAAGTAAGCGGTAAGCAAATTGACCAACCACAGTCGATTATTCTACTCAGTCAAAAACATGCAGCTTATTCGACGTCGAATCAAGAACCCAATGTCGAGATTCGGTTTGATTCGACATGGAAAACGTATAAATATAGACGCGTCTTCGACTGCAATTTCAACATCGCTTCAACATTGAATTTAATTGTGTCTCGAAAGGAGAAAGAATTTGCTTTGTAAGCTCAAACCCACTATTGATAAGATATAATTTGCAACGAAATTGGAAGATAGAAATGTATTTATAATCTTATATTTAAAGATAAAAAGTATTTGTTTGGAAAAGTTAGAGAAAAATTTTTAGTATTTATTTATTTATTTATTTATCATTGATACTTTTTTTGAATTGCTTTATTAATGACTGATAATAACGATCAAGGATAATAATAATAGTCCGTTTAAATAAATGATATAAATTACGAAATATTAAAAATCACATAAATTAATATTGTAGCAAAATCTACTTTCTTTCTTTTAACTCAACGAATCATCAACCGTTTCAACGTCGAATCAAATTCGACTCAACGTGTGTGCTCCTGACTAGATCTTGGGCCGTAAGAATCCAATTGGTCAATTAGCTTACTGCTCACGTCTTATTGTATACTCTTATCACTATTGTAAAATGGGCTTTATTCCTTAACCTTTTGCTCCAAGCGATAAAATATATCGTAATTTCCGGCAAAAGACATTTCTCGACAAAAGGCTGCTAAAGATCATAATAACGCTGAAATCTTAAGAATTACAACATCTGGCGGCGCTGGAAATTCTTCTTACTAAAAATTATGTTACAATTTAGCGCTTAAAGCAAAAGTCTAATGGCTTACTATACTCCCGCATAACAGGTATGTGTCTAAGAGACGTTTTCAAAACCATCCTTTAGACGTTTTTATCCCGACATCTTAACCCTTTAAGGCCCAATTTACATAAGAATGTAAAGTTATTTGTTAAAAAAACATAAGTATGTTATATTTATAAAAATTTCGTTCGATGTTCTTCAACGACTGTGTTATAAACAACCGAAAAATAAATGTCTCTTAAATAAAGCAATTTTAATATTCTCTTATTTTTACACCTTAAACGTCCAATATACATGTACACAATTGTGTACATTCAGAAAATCGTACTTCTCGACAGCCAATGTTATTCGGACAACACAATTTTTATCGGGAACGTCTTTTAAGACAATCTTGTAAATTACAACATTTTACTCCAATGGGATCGCTGTATGGGCCTTAAAGGGTTGAGATGTCTTAAATATTCTGCGGGCTTATTGTAGATCCAGCCTTACAAAGTTCTTCTTGCGCGCCTCTCGTTGTACACTTACGGAGGAGCGACTCGAATTTGTCGTAGAAGCTTATATAATCTCTTCGTATTATCCTTAGACTGAGTACACACATGCGTAACCCTGATTATTCCTCGATACGAAAATAAACCTTTGTCATCCTTCCGCTACTACTGTTCTACAACCTGCTTATAAGTGTAATGTACTCGTACTTGGTGTTGAAAAGAAGCAGAACGCCGCTATGACACACGTATGTTTTCTTTTCCTCTTGTTAATGTATCTTTGTGTTTCTTTTTTCTGTCTTCTATTGACAAAGCAAAACGTCGAACGATCGGACTTGAACTTTCGAAGAACATCGGCACGCGTGTTTTACTTCGCGAGTGCGAGCGAAAGTGAGCGTGTTCGATATATACAGGGTGTCCCAGCACCACCGTGCGTCCTTAACATGACAGATTCTTTGGGACATTCTAAAACGAAAATTCAAGTACGAAAATGATGATGAGGCTATAATAATTTTTAAATTGTAAGCGATTAAAGTTGTCTGATTATACGATTGGCATTTCTCGTGCTCAAATATTGCAACACAGATGGTGACAAAGATGTTATCGTGACTCAAATAGCCAGACCTATAATAACAGATTTTGCACAGTTTGGTGTAAATTTTGTCGGCAGCATGTTAATAGAAATACAACAGGATTTGATAACAGAGTATAACAGATTGACTACAGAAGCCGAGCAGAATTTGTCATTTCATCACTATTTAAATATATTTAAATGGAAAACACTGCAAATCTTGCTCAGCTTCTACTGTCAATCTACTGTCAAGTTATATGTCAAATCGACGTCGATATTCATTCTATTATTTGTCCACCCCTATTAGATCAAATGATGCATAAATAAAAAAATAAAAAATATTTTTGTACTTATAATACGATTAGTCAACTTTAATTGCTTATAATTGAAAAATCATTGCAGCCTTACCATTTTCGTATTTAAACTTTCACCTTAGGATGTCCCAAAGAATTTCTCATGTTAAGTACATACATAGTGGTCCTGATACGTATACGAGAGATCTGCATCCCTGTCTCCCTGTATACGATCTACGAGCGAACGCGAAGAAAATCAATTCGGAAAATATATCGCCGATCTTCCAGAGGCTGATGTCCGCAACGATACGCGCGATCATCGGTACTCGATTTTTCGCCGTTTCGTCAATCTTCCCTCTTCTCGCCACGTCTCTACTCTTATCTCGCGTCCGATACTTAAAATCTTACTTTCGTTGCACTTTACTTTTGTTTGTTTATGTGTTTGCATTTTTTTTTATTACCTTAAATAATCACTCTTCGCTCGTAGGCAACGCCCGTACGAAAACCTAGTCGCTTACGGTTCGTAATTACTAATTGCCTTACATCGCGAGAGATCGAATAATTCATAATCTCTAGATACTTAATGTACACTTAAAGATCGGATGGGAAAGGACCGCGCGTACGGAATAATTTGTGATAACATCTCTCAAGTACCATATATTAAGACTTTCGTGGGATCGGAATTCTATATATCAGTGTATCAGAAAAATACCTTTATGTACGTGTGTATGAGTGAGTATGTGTGTTTGCAATGAAAGATCAAAAATATAGATATATATATATATATATATATATATATATATATATATATATATGTATGTATATAGAGCGTTTTTCGGATAATAAGCGAAGTAGTTGGGAACGTAGTTTCGAAGCGCGCTCGAAATGCCGTTGGTTCTTCGCGACACATTTCTCGCGCACGTGGGGATATATAATCTCGTAATATGTAATAAATTACTCCGCGCGTCATTCCGCGCCGTTTGGCCACAATGTGTAACAATATAACGATCTATAATAATTATAATAACGAGACCGTAACTTTATACACATAAAGAGATCCGCAGCAGGGGAGAGCGAGACGAGACACCGCGCGAGTTCCCGAGCGCCTCTTGCGGATGGAGTCGTTACACATTACGTGGTACACAATTTAGATATGTCGAACGCGAAAATCAGGAGATGACTCTGGAGATCTCATCCACGAGACAAATAGCGGAGCTTATCCGAACGTTTCACCCTCTCGTCTAATCGCATTAGCAGCCACATACGCGCGATTCAACACCGAAAGAGTCGCGACTGATCTCGCTCGCAGTACATATCCGTTAAAAAATAGATATTTATGTATATACTCATGAAGTGTATGTGTATATGTATGTGTTTACGTATACGGTGCGTGTTTTTAGCGGAGGACAAAGAACACACTCGAAGCGTATAGAAAAAAATCGATCGCGGCGAGCTCTCACGGTGACGGACGAAGGTCCGAGCAAAAGACTCCGCGTCCTCTTCGACGCGCCCGTCTCTCGGACCGCGTCTCTCCGTGTGTCGCGAGACTACATATCGCAACTTATCGCTTTCCAATCAAGACGTATCTAAAGCGTAACGTGAAAAAACGTTGATTTCTCCCGCGGTCGTTCAGGGGAGGGCAAGATTACGTAACTCTCTTATGGGCTCTTGTCGAGTCTGAATTATACAACATCACTACCTGGAGTAACTCGCGAGAGACAGAGAGAGGGGGAGCGGGGGAGGGGGGGGGAGCGCGTGAGGAGTCGATCGTGTGCGTAACTAACCCTGCGCTATAGACAAATTTTTCAACGTTTGTCCGTTCCAAGCGATGGCGATGCAGTAGTGCTGGAGCAGCTGGGTGAGGAGCTCCCGTTCGTCCAGCATCTCTATGTGCTCGATTTGACTACGGTCCATCTCAGGCAGTGAATCGTATATCTCCACCATCGTCCATGCGTTCGAGCCCTCCCAGTTGTTCATGGTGAATCTGGAAGCGGGCCGGAGATGAGTTAGCGACTCGAATTTCGGGAATACCCGATAAGTAAAATGTTAGCAGTAGGATAGAGGGGAGGGCGTAAAAATGCGGCGAGTAAGAAGTGCCACTAACAATATTGAAACTCTAAAGAATGCTTGAGCAAAAGTACACAATAATAGTTTATATAGTTTCTGATATATTTGCAGTAACACTGAAATTAGCACTTTTAGCTCCACCCTATTCTATGCTAGCAGATTGGCGGCAAATTCGATTAGAATCCCACAACAAAACCATGGCCATCTGTATTCGTTTAAGTTCGTTAAGTTCGTGTTCTATCGACAGAATCTGATATGCTCTGACGGCACATTGACGGCAGAAAATGAGCAGAACCTGCTGCCAAACTGCGCGCAGAAAAGTCTACTCGATTTCTGTCGTTAATTTGCTGTTAGATAGTTATAGGATCTGTTTGCTTTCTCAATCTGCCATTAATCTGCTAGCATAGCATGCCAGCAATCTCTGCCAGATTTCTGATGGCTATTTGGCAACATCGCCAGATAGAACAGATTCTGTTCTGTGTAAACTTTGCTGCCTTTCTGACATCTAGCAAGTTCAGCTGCTCAGCATCTGCCGGCGCAAGTTCGGTTATCTGGACACAAGCTGTATTGAAATTGCGCTCACCGTCTCTGTTGGGTCTCTAACGACTCACAGTCCTCCACGCCCGCCAATAAGCAGCCACGGCTGCGCAGATTCGACAACATGACTTGGCCGAACTTGTCTTTCATGTTCACTTGTTCGTAGTTGACGAAGAGACTGTTCGGGAACTTCATCGCCAGCCATTTCAGTAGTGACGAGGTCGCGCTGGCGTCTATGTAAACTAGAACACATTCTGCCAGGAACATGGTGGGTAAATTGTAATTGACCTCGGCCTGAGTCAATTTGTTATTTAGCTCCGCTATGTGTCGCAGATCTGTACCAACCAGGTGATAGTTCGCGGCGTGCAGGTCTGTGGTGGAAAATCGAATTTCTCCATCTACAATCAAACGCGCCACGTGGCGAATGTTATGTAAGAACGATCACGACCCGCCGGAATAATGGATGAACAAGCAGGGATGTTGTGATATCGCTGATATCGATATTTTTCTTTCAACACTGGGTATTTTTCTATCGATGTTTTCTTTCGATATTCATATCCATATCAGAAAGAGAGAGAGAAAGAGAGAGAGAGAAAGTGTATGTGTGTGTTGTTTCGATACCTGCTTTTTCAATTTTTTACTCAGTCAATCTTCAGGATAGTATTTTTGCTTTATGAAAATTAGTGTGCAACACGCAATTATCTTAAATCCATCTTTTTTCTTTTCTCATGATTTCTGTTACGTTAATTTTATAATTATTTATTGATTCCTAAAATAAAAGGATAGTATCCGGATATTTTTACAAGTGTGCGGAATCACAAATGTTATTTTGTGCGTACATCGTTTTATTTCCACGTATACCACAATAATTTTTGGCACGCGATTTCTCGCTTCTTACGTCATCAAACAAGGACGGTCATAGCGAGAACACAGCCTTAACGTATCCTTTTAAAGTTTTTAGATCACAAACTATAGAAGGTCTAATGTAAAAGGTAGAAATATCTTTATACTATAGTAAGATTATTAACGTAGATGTACGAAACTCTTAAAAGTAGTTTGTAAGGCAAACACTTCGATGATTTTTATATCCTCTAATTTTAAGTCTTTTAAGTTTCGCGTACCAGTATCGATATCGATATTTTGGTTCCGATATTGATATCACTAATGGTCGGTATTCTTTGTTAGATACCCGTTCCAATATTAATATCTATACTTTCATGATATCACAACATCCCTATGACGAAGTGCGACGGAGTACCTTCGGTGTTTAGCATATCGATCAGTTGCTTGTGCTTCTTGATGTGGTAGCACTTCTTGGCGGTGATGCTGGGAAAGTCGAGCTCGACGAAGTTCGCCGGACTGTTCCCGGCCTTCCTGAGCCTCCAGTAGAGTGTGTCAAAGCCAGCACCCAAGTTTATGATCTGCCCTTTACCGCCAGACAGCTGCACAGATGCACATATGAGGAATTCGTCCCGTACAGAGGAATGATACCGAGCTCTGTCTCTTTCTCTGACTTTACTCAATATTAAATTTCATTAATTTAGAGTAGCCGGACCGTAATTTAGGTACCATGGTCGGTATTCATAAACTGATTTTATATTTAAGAGCGTCCCAAATTCATCTTTAGATGCTTCGTACAGCCAATGGGTCTGTACGTTTTCGTTGAACTTAAAACACCTGCAGACTGGGACTAAGATCGTCTTTTGTTTATCTTCAGATGCCTTATAGCTCATAGACTTGTTCGTTTTAGCTGAATTAGTTTTAGCTACACTGGAACTTCGTTCCTTTTCTCTTCAACGCTAAATTATATGCTTGTTTCACTTTGCAGATAAAAAGTGCTATTTAATTCGATTAACGCTGTGGTCCGATTCACGCTTACAGCATTGTAAGCATCATTGTTTTTTTGGCATGTAATCAACAATAAAGATAGAATAATGTTCACAGCGCTGTAAGCATGAATCGGATCGCAGTCTAAAACGAACGAACCTAATGAAATAATCCGTACAGTATCTGAAGGTGAACTTAATACAATTTTAAATATAAGATTTAACTATAAATACCGCCCGCAGAGTCAGATTTTAGATTCGTCTTAGGTTCATCTTCAGATGCGTAGCCAATAAAATAAGCCGTAACAGCGTTTGAAGGTGAACTTAAGACGATCTAAGATGATAAGATCTGATTATGTATACCTTATTCTGTCATCGATATTAAGCCCGGATTTATAATAGGTGTAGTAAGCTTTAAATCGTAAGAAATTGACCAATCACAATCGATTATTCTTCTTATATTCGATTGTGATTGGTCAATTTCTTACAGCTTGCAACTTGCTACATCTATTGTAGATTCGGACTAATAGTCAGATCTTATACTTGAGATCGTCCATCTTCAGATGCTGTATAATTCATTTGGTCTGTTCTTTTTAGTTGAACCAGCTGCGCTAGTTCAAGAAATTTACGCGCACTGAAGCATGAGAATTCCGTACGTACGCTTCACACGGTTTCAATATATATGTAAATTTGTTGAACTAGCGCAGTCAGTTTAATTAAAAAGAACAGACCTCTTGTATTGATTGAAAAACAACTGAAGATGAACTTAAGACGGTCTTAACTCCCCGTTAGTCGCAATATTTTTCACCCATCAATGATTGCAATATATCTCACAGATACACTAATTATTCCAGTATTTTCCTCTGCTTCTTGAAACAATTTTTCTTTTATTAGCACTTAGCTAATAAACCAGGCACTAAAAAACAGTGAAGAACAAATTGACAAGTATTAGAATAATATCTATTGAATATTGCGACTAACAGAAAGTTAAATATAAGATCTAACTGTGAATATCGATCAGAGTCAGATCTTATATTTAAAACCGATTCAAGATTCATCTTCAGATGCATAGTCAGTAAAAAGATCCGTACAGTGTCTGAAGATGAATATAAGCGATCTTAAGTATAAAATTTGACTATGGTTCATATTCTAAACTTACTTTTATCGATAAAAATGCCTTAAATGTTCTTGTGTTTAAATGTTCTCATCTAATCAAGAAATTTCTAAGCCACTTCTAGAGATAATGTTATCGATAAAAGTGAATTCAGAATATAGAACTTTGAATATCAGCCCATAGACCGCTCTATGGATGGTATTCATAATTAGATCTTAGTTAGATCTTATTCTTAACCCTTTGGCCTATAACCACGAGTCTGACTCGTGGTGAAAAATTTGTGCCATAAGCGAAAACCACGAGTCTGACTCGTGGTAAAGAATTTGTGCCATATATAAAAGCCACGAGTCAGACTCGTGGTGAGGAATTGGTGCATAAGATGCCGCGTATTATTCGAACAAGCGAATGGAGTTATTCCACATCCAATACTTTTCCTTTGATTGAAAAATCCAACAAGAGCTTGCAAAGTATGCACGAAACATAAGAAAAGGTGTGAAACTACATGGGAATGTAAGAACTGTCGTGTTGCGTTACATGTACCTCAGTGTTTCGAAAGATACCATACAGTTGAAGACTACTAATTTTCATTCAATTAACTAAGTATTCATTTACAAATTGCTATTGATTCATTATCTACTTTGAAATAATAAATTATTTTTGTCAACTGATCAATTGATTATGATTGCACCCTAGACGTCTTAAAATTACTATTTGTACCTAAACATTGTTTATTATTTCACAATTTCTTTCGTTGCACTGAAATATATATGTCATGAAAGGTATACATTTTGCGCCAGTTCGGGTACACGGCTGAACAGTTGAATGGCACGGCGCACGACCGATTTTCTTGTTTACTATAGCTCGCGCAATTGGCAGATATCGTGTAGGCCAAGGGGTTAAAATCATTTTAAGTTCTTCAGATATTGTACGGATCATTTCATTGGCTACAAGGCATCTGAAGATAAACATAAGACGATCTGAAATATAATATAATGTAAATATAAAATATAGGTCTGTTCTTTTTAGCTGAATTAGTGTATATTTAGGCTGCGATCCTATTCACGCTTACAACGCTGTAAGCGTCATTGGCTGCGTTCAGGAAATACAAACGATTAGTGAACGGTCAGTGATTATTGGTTTTTACTGTTAGATCTTTAAATTTAGACCAATTATGTTGACGAATTATTAAAATGTTGTACAACCGTTGTGTTTTCTGAACACAACTATTGAACACGTTCAGCAGAATTCAATAAGTTTAATTTGCAACCATTGGCAGTTTTCCAAGCTGTGATTGGATTATTCTTTTAGATCTAGAAGAATAATCCAATATCCGGACAGGAAACTTCTAATAGTTGTAAAATAAACGTTCTGCTGAACGCGGCCGTTTTATCTTTATTGTTGATTACATGCCAAAGAGATGAAATGACGCTTACAGCTGTAAGTGTGAATCAGACCGCAGCCTTACAGAATTTCAAGAGACAAATATACATATATATATTAAAACTTGGTGGAAGAAAGAGAAGAAAATTAGTACAAGCTAGTGCAGCCGGTTCAGCGAAAAAGAACAGACTTAAGGCCTCAAGCCATCTATTGCGGAACTATTCGAAATCAATCCCAATCGGAACCGCTCAACTATTCCCTATAAAATGCAAGAGAATCTGGAGAATAAAAGATTCCAATCGGAATCGATTCCGAACAGTTCTGTAACAGATGACCCGACTACCGGTCTGTTTTCCTTACATTGTAGACAACAATTTATCCCCGTTTTACGTGCCGGTGTTTTTCTTGAAATAAACATATACATATATCTGCATATAAACGTAATTTACCGATAGATTCGTCAAATTCGAATTCAGATCACCGCGTTTGACTAAGCTGCTCGCCTTAAGACCCAGAAAGAAAAGACCGCGGTACTCGCGCGCAATTCGTATAAACAAGACGGACACGGGGTATGTTTGTTTCGGCGACATCGGTCGGATTTCGCAGCGCGCTGGTCGCGCTGCCAATTCGGAAATGAGCCGCGAACTTGGCACGCGTCGCAGAAGCGTTTTTCATTGACCTATATATCGGCTCGCCGTGCGCGATAAAAGCGGGCGAACCTCAGGGGAATTAGGACAGGGCCTCGGCCGGCGGGTCAAGGTTTCCGCCGCTGCACGTCCCTGTCGCCCGGATCAGCTGTACCGCCCCCTCCCCCGGCCGATTGTTTCCGATTCGACGTATGCGTGTTCTAGGTTATACTATCGCCGCGACGACGAACGAGGACTCGCTCGCGCCCGCCCGCATTTTCCGCCGCTCGAGACGTATTTTCCCCGCGTCCGGCCTGTGCGTCTTCTACGCCCCGGGCGCAGGTGGACGCGCAATTGAGACGGACGAGAGATCGTGCACACTCGGTAACAACGGAAGAGTGCAGAGAGTGCAATCGGCAAGCGAGCGTTACCAAGCGGCAACGCTCGTGCGACCGATGGAGAAGTCTCTTCACGAGACCACCCCGCTCGCGCGGGAAAGCGGGGGTCATAAGGGGAGCGGGTCCGAGGGGGGCAAAGCAAACGCGCAGAAGATAGCTTGAGAGAATACGCGGAACCCACGGTTGAAAAAAAAAAAAGAAGCGGAGACCGTATCTCGTTACATTTGTATTGCACTTTCTGCACTCTCGCGTAACGCGGAATAGGCGCGCCGAAGGGAGAGATAGGTGGAAGAGAGAGAGAGAGAAAAAGAGGGAGAGAGAGACCTTTAGAACGATATATATCGCAACTCGTGCGGCGCTCACCTTGAGGAACTTGTCGACGAAGAGCTCGATGCCCTTGACTCTGGCATAGTAACCGCGATTGATCTCGGGCGCCTTCCGCGTGGTCTGCTTCACGAACAGGCTGATGAACGGGTCGCACCAGTAGCCGAGCGTGACCGCGCAGCGCTTGCACTCGCTGGCGTCGTCGTTGGTGGCCTGTATGGCCTCATCGTCCGCCATATCCTTGATCATCACACCGGCGCCGGGGATAGTGGCGGTTTACCGCTCGTTCTCCTTATCCTTCTCCTCCTCCTCTCTCTCGTTCCTTCTCACTCACTCTCTCTCTCTTGCTTTCTCTTCGTCGCACCAACGCTCTATGTGTGTGTATATCTCTCTCTCTTTCCTTCTCTCAGTTAGGAACGATCATTCTACCACTCGCGGTTTCGCGCGGCGCGCGCGGACGCCTCGGGGTTGCGGCGAACGTCGAGCGGATGATCACGTATCTGTCACTCGCGCACCACTGCGCCGCCGGCGGCCATACTGCCCCCGCGGTGCTGCACCAGCGTCCAGCCCGTCTACACCTGCGTGCTCGCCCGCGGCGGAGGCGCGCAGGGCCGGCGTGAGCAGGCAGAGTGCCCCCGATCGCGTTCAAAGGGTTTACAGTGCGCAGGTGTTCGTTCCGCGGGAGCGAAATTTGAATCTTTGGTAGCATGAAATTTGCCTTTTAGAGGATTTCGTTCTGCTTCAAAAGCTCGCTTTCAAAGGAAATCCAGCGTGGATTTTCGGATTATGGAGAATAAGCGAGAGGCTTCCTTCAAGTTTCATTCATTTCAAGGCTACATCAGGAGGATTAAGAGACATTGCGTTAATGTATTCTTTTTCAGCATGGAAGCGAAGAATTGTGTGCTCTTAACGACGATGCATTTATCTAATTAACGCGATATGCATATTTTATCGCTAATGAGCTTCAGTTATAATCTCGCACTGCAGTGCGCGACTTTGGAGTATTTTAGAAACTTTTTCATATCGTTTCTCGCAAAGTACTCGTGTTGCATTATAGTGTAGTGAGCTTTTCTCTTGAAGACTCAAAAGGCCTTGTGTGTTACATTTAAAAGATACCTTTTTCAGTAAGCAAGAAACGTTAAATCAGTTTTTTGAAACATTGCCCGAGAAAAAATTTTCCATATATAACAATATATAATTATACATAAGAAGTAATCAGAGAGAGAGAGAGAGAGAGAGAGAGAGAGAGTTATATATGATTATATATAAATGAGATTTTCTTTGCACATATGACGATATATAGGGTGCCTCAATATAAAAAGAACACCTAAATTTTGGGGAGCTTAAAAAATTATCGAAAAATTGACCACAAAAAAATGTTTTCTTCCACAATATCCCTTCTTCGAAACCATTCAAATTATACTCTAAACATTCCTTATATAATTAAAAATAAAGGAGATAGATGTTTTTCTTATGTTGCGACACCCTAAATGTATGTATGTATGTATACTATATTATCAAGTAATGAGACATAATAGCAAGCAGTAAAGTTTTTTGTAGAATTAAAAAACATCGTATATATAGTCTATACATAATCAGATAATTATATGTGGCGGTCGAAACAACCGGCGATAAAAACAACGGCTGTTCGCACGCGTAATTTGTTTTTTTTTTCGTATTTTGTTTCGTAATTAATTTGTTCTTCGGCGTCCCTGAGGACCCCGGAGCGTTCACTCTCGTTTAAAACATCGCGGACGCGCTCGCGAGTGTTCCTCGCCACCGATTCTCCTCGTGATTTGTTCTCGACGCTCCGGACTTGACTGCGCCCCGTCTCTCGCAAACGCGCGTTAGTGCATCGCGCTCGGGAGTGCGAGTGTCTCTCGTCCGTCGTACAAGAGCTTTCCGACGGCCTTCGTCGCGATCGACGCCGTCGCGCCCCTTGTGCACGATTTCCGATCCGTGCCTCTCCCCGCGAGGGAGAGAGAGCCGCCGCGGCGACCTAGCCGATCTCCTAGCGTTCCGATTTCTTTGTTCAGCGTTGCCCCATTTTGTTTAATGTTGCGTTTTTAGTTGATAGAATCCCGTTCTTTATTGTGTCGCGCTGCGAGCTTGAAAATTCTTGTAAATACAGCGTTTCGTCGTTTCGTGTGAACAGTTATAAAGACTCCGCATTTATTTGCGCACACCCCAGCACTGCTTCCGCTCACTAACTTTTTCTTAATAGCGGCATTCACTAAATATATATAATCATATATAATTATATTTTTATATATCAAGACATATTCTATATAATTACATATAAGAAATTTGTTTCTCTGGCTGATATGGCTATTCTCTGGCTTTTATGTAGGTTTTATAAACATTTGATATATTTTATAATATATTTTAAAATATTTTTAAACTGTTACTTAATAATATAATATTCCTAAATATTAAAATTATAGTGCAGAAATATTATTTTTAATGCTTGGGTCAAATATTGTTAACAATGACGTATATAACATTAAGAACTATATATTTGAAAACGTTACATGTTATAAAATATCATTGTAACAATATAATATTATGTTAATAACTATGTTAGTGATTTCTTGTTTACTGGGTTTTTCATATGAATATATCGTTAGAGACAGATGGCTCCTGGGTAATTAACAAGACAGAGTAAAAATACACACTGAAAAATATAATTTAATAAACATGATACATATGAGAGAGAGGAAGAGATAAAGAGAAAGAGAGAGAGAGAGAGAGAAAAAGTATACAAAAGGATGAACGGTTGCGCTAAAAATCATCGCATGATATTTCAATTGCTGCTCTCGCAACGTTGTATCGCTCTCGAATATTATAATCTAAAATGATCTCTATTGTTCTTGATAAATTCTCAAATTCGTAACAATTGACTGATTTTCGTTCGATCGACGCAGACAAGCGCGCCACAACAAGATTTCGCGCGCGAGGCTGCTATATATATATATATATATATATATGTTGTATATATATATATATTTGTTGAGATATATATATATATATATCTCAACAAATTATTAACTCCACGATGATCTTTCCACAAACGTGATTACAGCTTCGAGCAAGAATGATCTACGCTCAGTGCGATGTGATGACAGCTTCATCGCGACACGAATCCGTGTAACAATCGATAGAACGTTACAAACCGATCTCGAGATCACAGAGTTAATTTCCTCTCTTCTCTGTTCTGCGACACACTCCATTATTGCATCATCATTGCATCCATTGCATATCAAAGCAAGTAAACAAAAGTATAAAATACTCGCTGGAGAGGATAATGGCGGTAAAATGTCGGCTGAAGTTGAGCTGCTCAAGCGGTCGCCAGTACGTATCGTCCGAGGAGGCTCGCGGATCCCGCTTGAGTGGCTCGCGAAAACGACATTAATTACAGAAATACGATACTTAAAAAGGAACGGATAACTACGGAAGAAGCGAGTGCTACTCTTGGCTTAGCTTGCGGGAGGGGCTGCGAATATAATCAATTGAAAAAGGAGTGTAGAGGGGGGGGGGGGCGAACAATAACGCGACTCGTATAAATACGGATTACAAATTGTGCTGTCGATTATAAACTCCGGTATCGCTCGATACTTCCGGCGAGCGCGACATCAAGCTCTCAACGGCAATATAGAAACTCTTGCGATATATTAAAAGTATCAAAAAACTGTAACAGACTAGCAAGTGTAATCTCTTTTTTAGCGTTGTACCTTTAACCCTTTCGAGACGGTGTTCGTTGTCGCCGTGTTCCGGAATTGATCGGAGGCTCATCACGGTATCGTTGTATGGCGAAGTGGTGTAAATCGATATTACACCGTGCTACGGTGTACATGCGTGTGTGTATGTGTGTTCAGAATGTATATTAATAAACAACTAATTTCGCTCCAGGCGCGTATGGCATTTTACGTGCAGCTCGCCACACGCCAGTTTTACGGAAGCGAGCTCTCGAAAGGTCTCGGAAGGGTTAACGGCTTCTCTGTCGTAGGACTCAGCCATGATCCCGTTCCAACGCGACGAACGGCCAGGGGATTCCCCCGGACGTCCTGCGATCTCCTCCGCGTCAGCCGAGACCATTCTCGTCGGCTCGGACCGTCGACCGATCACTCTTCCGCCTCGGGCTTCTTGCCTTTCGCGCCCATGCTGCTGCTGGTCTTCGTCTTCCGCTTCGGCGGAACGGGCATGTCGGGGCCCATGGCGGCGGTGGCGGAAGGGCTGGTCGGCGGTGGTGGCGTCTCCGGAACCGTCGTGTCGGTCTCGAGGCCCTGCCCGCTCTTGGTGGTCTTCTTCGTGACCTTCACCGTCTTCTTCACCTTGCTCTGCGAATTGTCTCCGGTGGCGGCGGGGGCGGCTGCGACAGGGGCGGGGGCAACGGCCGTCTCCGGAGTCGGTGGGGCGGCGGTGGTAGCAGCAGCCTCCTCAGGCTTCTTCGTCTTCTTCGTAACCTTCTTCACCGTCTTCTTCGCCGTCTTCTTGTCGCCGCCCTCGCCGTCCGTGCCGTCGGCGGAGTCGGATTTCTTCAGGCTCTTCTTCGCCACTTTCTCCTGGCCCTCCGCCGTTTCCTGCGCGCTCTCCACAGACGGACTGGTCGGCGGCGTAGCCTCGATCACCGTGGGCGTCGAGGGGATGCTCAATGCCTTCGCCATGGTGGACTCCGCTGGTGGTTCCTGGGGTTTCTCGGCGACCGGTAACTCCGGAACCTGGCCCGGCGGCTTGGTGACCGCCGCCTCAGCTTGCGTCGCTTGCTTAGCGGACTCCGTGGGTTTCACCTCCGTTTCCTCGGCCTTCGCAGCTACCTCCGGCTTCGCTTCCGGTTTCGCCTCTGGTTTCGCTTCTAGCTTCGCTTCTGGCTTCGCTTCTGGCTTCGCTTCTGGCTTCGTTTCTGGCTTCGCTTCTGGCTTCGCTTCTGGCTTCGCTTCCGGGGTTTCGGTTTTCGCAAGCTGCTCCGGAGGAGCTGCGGCTTTCTCCGCCGCTCCCGCCGCTTCGATTTTCGCACTCTGCTCCGCAGGCTTCGCTTCCGCTGCTTCTGTTTTCGCTACTTGCTGCTCTGCAACTTTCGCTTCCTTCGCTTCCGGCGTCGCGACCGCTTCCGGCATCCCTGTTGCCGCCTGTTCCACGGGTTTCGCTGCTTCCTCCGCTTTCTCGGCCAGCACTCCTGCAGGCACCGCGCTGCTAACGGGCTCTATCTTCTCCGGCGGCGCATCTTTGTCCGTGGCGGGCGCCGGTTCCTTCGTCGGTTCAGCGGCGGTTTTCTCCGGCGGAGCAGGCGCCGCGACCGCGATATCCACGCGTTTCTCAGAGTCGCTCGCCGACCCGTTCAATTGGACGGCCTGTTCCTTCCGCTCAGTCGCGGGGGCGACGTCCGTGACGGCCGTGACCGTCGTGGCGATCGCTTGGTCGCTCACGGGCGCCGCCGCGCCCGACACGGACTCCTTCGGCTCCGCCTGAAGGACCGACTCCGCCACTTGGATGGGCACCGGGCTCACGGTCGAGATCTCGGAAGCTGCCAGCAGCACATCCGCGTGCCGTTCGCTCGGATCGATCGTCAACGGCTGCGTCACGTCGGTTGCACCTTCAGTTGGGAGCTTCGAGGTGTCTTGAGCCAGTGCTTCGCTCGGTACCGCAGCGGAAACCGGGGGAGTAGCCGTCGGCTGCGTTGCGTCCGGAACAGCAGGAACTGGGATCTGCGGTTTGTCAGTGACAGGCGGTATGCAGATCGCGCCCGCCAAGAGGGGCGGTTCAGCTGGTGGCGCGCTCTCCGCCGGCGATGGGGTGCTTCCGCTCTGGGGTGCGGGTGCCTGCGTCATCGGGCTCGTGAGTTTGCACTGCTCCGCGCTCGCTTCTGTGATGGACGGTGATGGTTCCACGGGCGGTTTCACTTCAACACTCGTTTCGCACGGCTTCGCAGCGTCCTGTGGCTCCTGCGTAGGCGGTTTCATGCAGACCTCCGTCGCGGGTTGCGTCGGTTCACTGGGTATTTTCGTCGCGACGACCTCCGCCGTGACGCTCTCTGCGACGGATGTTTTCTGTTCAGAGGGCTGCGCAGCCTCGGCGGGGACAGCCGGCGTCGGAAGCTTCTCCTCGGGTGGTTTACATACTAGAGATTGCGTCGAGTCCTTGTCCGTTTCAACTGCGTGGAGAAAGAAGAATGAAGTGAGTGAGCGTGGAGTTGGAACGGAGTATGCGCTGTATATAAAGAAGATTCTATTCTACGAAGAGAAGGGAGAAGAAACCGTGCAAAACCGATTGTTTTGTATTAGGCTCTCATGGTATATGATCAAATATTAGAAATTCGAATAAGCAGGCAAGAGCCAAGTACGGTTATTATGTGCGAACGTCCCTGTCGAAGAAAACCAGGTAGGAGTCCATGTAGGAAACCCATAATTGCCCCTAGAGTTTTGCGCCAAAAGTCCTGGTCCTAGATAGAAATCTATGTGGATTCTTATATGAATTTTCAGAAATGATGCGGATTCCTACGTGGATTTTTATTATCTTGTGTAGATTCACATGAGTTCCTATGGATTTCTGTGGGAATACACTTGGGAAATTTTCAACAGGGATATTTTGAATAATATTTATTTGGGAGGATAATATATTTGACAGTCTGATGATGCACGCTGCAACATTCCGTCAAACTTTCAACATATATATATGCAGTCCGATAAGTACTTAGCCTACAAAAGAAAAACGAAAATTTTGGAAAGGTGGCGATTTATTTCTCAACATAGTCTCCTTTTAGCTCAATACACTTGACCCAGTGATGTTCCAACTTCTTTAACCCATCTGAAAAATACGTTTTCTCGAAGTCTGCAAAGTAGGCCTCCGTGACGGCGATGACCTCGGCGATGGCCAAATTGGTCGAATTGGACTACGAACTGCTGCCCCATCCACGTATTCTCCAGATTTGGCCCCGTGCGACTTTTTTTGGTTTCCAAACTTGAAAACGTCACTCGCCGGGCAGAAATTTGAGTCGAATGAGGAGGTCATCGCCGCCACGGAGGCCTACTTTGCAGACTTCGAGAAAACGTATTTTTCAGAAAGAAGTTGGAGCATCGCTGGGTCAAGTGTATCGAGCTAAAAAGAAAACTATGTTGAGAAATAAATCGCCACTTTTCCAAAATTTTCGTTTTTCTTTTGTAGGCTAAGTACTTATCGGACTGCCCTCGTATATATTATAATTCCCTTTAATATTCCTTTCCTTTATAATTCTCTTTGACGTGGAAAAAAGATTCCCCGCGTATATTGAAAGTCTGGCGGAATGTCGGCGCGTGCGTCATCACACTGTCATCCTCTTCCAAGCATATTATCCTCTCAAATAAGTATCATTAAAAATATGTATTCGCACATAATCGTGCTCGGCTCTTACTTGCATATTATAATTTCTATTATTTAACTATGCAAAAGTTCGACGGTACATGTACAGAATATACCGTTTCTTGATCAAATAGTGGTAAGAATATCGATTAATGCGGAATATCGTTGTAGACATTACCGTTCGTAATTTCAGGCGAGGATAACAGTATTCCGGTTAATTCCGTCCCAGCGTATCAAAGTATCACGCGAATTTGAATGATGTAAAATGCTCGAATGAAAATGCGAATGAACTGCGAGCGAAATTACTAATGAATATATGATTTTACGTGTGGAATATATGCAGTGCGCACTTAAGTGTTTCTTTCGTTAGTATAAAGCAAACAAACCATAACAGTAGCGCAATATTTCGCGTATATAATATATAGCGATTCGTGAAGCGCTACGATCGGACGTCGTGTTATTTTACTCATGGGAAGATAATAAAGCAGCATCTAAACGTAAAATATTTCATTAGTAAGCAACTGCCATTAGTAATTCATAGAAGCGTTATGCTCAAACAAAAAGCGTAGTCATATAAGTATCACCTTTAAAGTATAAAATATATCATAACTCACACACTTTGTTTGTGTGATTTCATATGAATCGTATATGTATAACTTTAACCTTATATTTTGTGCAGATGTAATGTATCTAGAGATTCTATAAAAGTATCTTGTATAGTGTAAGTGAAATAGATGAATATTTCAAAGTAGAAGAAAATCTTTCGTGCCAGCTAAATATGATAGTGAAAGTAACCGAATTGCAGAAACAATTAATCTAAAATTAACGATCAATGAGAAGATTCCAACGAATATTTCAATAAATGCATCATGATCTTGTGGACGTGCTTCAGAATATATCACGTGATGTCGTGGTGAACGTTTCGTGCGAGCGCACTTAAAATATTTACCCCATTAAAGCAAAACGACAATACAAGACTCAGCAATGCTATGGCGCCAGGGTCTGTTAGTTGCTGTCCTCAGTTCCTGCTGCAAACGCTCAAACTTGATCAATTGTATTAACAACAATTGTATATCGTTATTTTACTTTCCGATTTCTAATGTCGTAACCGATACGATATTCGCTGGTGCCAACGTAAATTGGTTTCGTTCTCGAATATACAATCGTTTGCTCGCGCGTTACTACGGTATTTCGATTCAAGAAACTACTAAATAACCGACTGAATATCGCATGCTGTATTAAATGAAAACGAAAAAAACAAACAAAAACGCAAAGCATACTTGAACGGTTAATAGCTTTACATTGTGAGTATATCTCAAGTATCTCGCAGATCTCTCATTATTTTGACAACTCGACAGTGCACGTTGAGCCAAATATCGTGTCATTATTGAAATTCTTGTTGCATATGATACGCATTTTACTTGATAAGACATTCTTACAGTGGACGATATTATTGTACGTGAATTACAAATTGGATGGCAACAAAACGTACGTACCAGTCGCTGTTTTTTGCTCGACGACTTCTGCAACAGCAGCGGGAGCAACTTCAGCTTTAGGTTTATCCTGTGAACATTTATAATATAAATTAATGTAATATAAATTATGTGTTACAGGAACTCTCAGTCTTTTTGAGGTTTATATTTATAATAAATTTTATAATAAAATTACTGATTTTTAAGTTTCTTGGTGAAAAAAAATGTTTCATATTTCCTATAAAAATATTTGAGATTTAATCAGAAATTTTGAACTGAAAGTTTTTCAGAAGAAATATTAAGAAATGCTCGAAAATACTCAGAAATATTCCGAAATTTTCAAATTTTTTGCCTGAATTTTTCTAAAAGAACGTCCCAATTCGTAAAAAAAATATTTGAAATATTCTATAAAAAGTCTTAGAATTCTCATAAAAATTCTGAATAATATTAAATATTCGAATAATATTAAATATTCTGAAATATTTTTCATCAGGGTTTTTTTAAACATTTTATTAAAAGGGTTTTTTTTAACATTTTATTAAAATATTAAAAAGCATAAATGTTTCCAAATTCCGCGCTTATAGTCGTTACTCGGAACTTGTCTCACGTGAGAAACTCGGGTCTAACTTTAAACTCAAACCTGAATATCTTATGTGAGACGAGTTTCAAGCAACGACTATAAATAGGACTTGAAATCATTTATACGGTTAAAATCGAGCAGTGAGAGCTGGTTATCAACTGCTTCACAGCATCTAACAGTCTACTGCTAACTTACTGATTTAAAAGTTAGTTCACTGATTTGAGAATTAGCGGTCCGATTTGCCTTTTAAAAGTTTATGATCGATTACCTCCTTAGGTGGAGTCGGTTGCCGTTGCTGTGCCTGGGAAAGCGTCTCGCAGATCTTCTTCCATATGTTATCGAAGCTATCCTGACCCATATAGTCGATGTGTCCCTGTTCCCAGCTCTGTTTCCTCATCTGTTCCTCTAGGGCTATCTGTTGCTCGCTTCTGGCCACGCCGAGAGTCAACTGAGCCAAAGCACCGGCAATACCCGCCTGCGTAATCAATAAGAATACCTTTTAATTTGGGCTGCCTGCGGTGACAAGGGGCTTAGATAAAATTCCGACGTATTGTGACCTCACGACAATAAAGTGAGCCACAAAGTGCGCGAATATTGCAAGCGCATATTCATAATTTTAATATATTACATACATGTTATTTATGTTTTAATATATTACATCTCTTCTCCGTATTGATTGTTATCTGAGAACAAGTCACGTCTATGTACAGACTTAACGTTACTTACATGGAGTACTTTTTACATGGGAGTAACATGTGTTAGTGCACACTAACTAACTAACACTAAGACAAATCGAGAAAGCGCAACACATTTAGGAAGCAAACGAGATTACCTGATTATATTGTCGACAGCACGGAATAATCCGGCGGATTTAACTCGAGAATTTAGAGAAAAAGAAACGAGAAAGTAATATATATGGGAACAATTACTTACATGGTTGGCTGCGCTCGGGTCAGTTTGCGTGGCTATATTGTGGAGATCGCTGTTAGGTGCGGGAGGGAGAGGACAGGAATCGATTCTCGGTTCGTTCGTACGTTTATCCAACGCAGCTTCCAACGACCGTTCGTTACTCGCACTTTGACTACTTTCAGATATACGTTCAGCGTGGAAACGACGATAGTCTACATTTGGATGACTAGCTTGATTACTGTCACTAGCACGGTGCTGCGCATGATTTTCATGTTTCACTTCGATGGGACGCGACAGCCACCCGTAATGTTCGTGTACCGGCTGATGTTGAACGGAACAATGGGCCGTTTCGTCGTTAGATTTATGATGATGATCGTCCCGTTGAAATTGTTCAAAGTGCTGATGTTGTTCGCCGGATTGTCTCCTTTCGTCACGATGCCACTCATGATGGTGTCTTCGTACCTGTTGATTGTGTTGTACATTATGTTGCTGCTGTTCATGCTGCTGTTCACGTTCACTGAGTTGCCAGTGATGATGTGTCGTGTGTTGAGCGGAGTGCTGACTATAGTTGTCTCCATGTGGAGTCACATGTTGATGATGCTCATTGTGTGTAGTGTGATCGTATTCGAACCAGTGCTCGTTGCGGTCGATTTGGTAAGAAACATTCTCCTCTCCCCAGGAATCGTGACCCGAGGTTCGCGATTGGTCAGCCTCGTGGGAATCGTTCTCGTTAGAGGTGAACACGACACGTTCGTTAAGAGGCTGATGTAACGCACTGTAATGCAGATGCTCTTCCCAGGGGTCTTTAAACTCGGAGAAATCCGGTGCTTGCTCGGAAACGTCGTTGTATGCGTCGTAGTTTACGTTGAAGGGTATTGAAGGGTACTGACGGGTACTGAAGGGTTCAAAGGGTGCAGGAGTGGGTATGTGGGGCTTAGGAGAGATGTCAGGCAACAATAGACCCGATATTCTGCTGGCAACCTATGCAAGCGTCATGCGAAAACAGAAAAATATACATTCAATCGGTTAGTAGTAAACCAAGTGCAGCATTGGTGACCGTTTTTTTCTCTCTAACAACGTTACTTTTTCGTATCGTATGTACATTGTGCTTAATATCGAGGGCATCGTCAAAATGTGTGCGAACTTGGAAATGTGTGAAACTTAGCAGCAAACAGAATGCGTGTGCCGAGCGTTACTCAAAAGTATCATTCGTCTTCGGTGAAGATAACTATCAGTTTGAACACACACTGTCTACTTGCGGATAAATCGAACTGAACTCACCATAGAGCTGGACAGCTGAGAGTGCACTCGCTCGCAGAATATATTCCACCAGAGTTGCAATAGCGGTTGCAAATGTCCGGAACCAGCTGGTGGTTGAACCGTGCCGGTCAGGGTGTCGAAGTACTGCAACCACGGTTTCGTTATACCGATGAAGTGTATTATCCTGACGTCCTCGCCAAATCTGGAACGACGCAAACGTGAATCGACCGATGCGGATCTGAAGGATCGCGAGAGCGGACATCACTCACTGCTTGAATGCGGGAAGATAGGAGTACGTCGCAGTAGAACACATGTTGTAGATGAACGGCAGATGCTTGGAGATGTCCTTGCTGGCCCAATCGCTGAAGTACATGTTCAGCAAGCCTTGATCGCCACCGTCAAAGGAGCCCTTGGCTGCGGCGAACGAGACGATCGACGCGAACGTCTGTTGGGACGGTCTGAAGACGAATACACCGGAGTTGAAGCAATCGGGCCAGCCGACGTCGGGCGCGGCTGATAGTTCTTCGCGTTCAAACAACTCGTCGCAATTTCGCACAACCTGAAGAAGGCCCACCGGCCGCTCAAAGTTAGTCGAATCACAGAGTGCACAGACAAAAATCATTTTGTCGATGTAAATGAATTGTCCGCTGTCTGGGGACAAGGAAACTCGATTATAGGAACAGAAGATGATAAAACAGAAGATTCATGTAGAAGGTTTCTACACAGTAGGGCTAGAAATGATATTCCAAGTTCCGGTTTTTCGAAGCTTTCGAAGCTTCGAATTTCGGAATCTCCGATATGTTATATTCGAATAATGAAATTTTGAAGTGTGAAAAATCAAACTTGGAATATTCGAAACTGCGAGAGCTAATTTCGAGAGAGTTTTAATTAGAATTGTTACTCTTTGACAATTTCGAAGCTTCGAATGAATCGAAATTTCAAAAATCAATTTCGAAACTTTAAAGTTTTTAAACCGAAGCTTTGAAGTTTTAGTTTTCGAACTTTGAAACTTCGAGACTTCGAAGGTTCTCTAATTTGTTTTAAAGACGGGAGAGGTGCGTGAGAGAACATGTTAATATAAATGTTCATTCTTTTGTCTGAAGATCAGTCAAAAACTCGCTTGTAGGAAAGAAGATTCCTATAAAAGATTTCTACTCGGCCGATTCCTCTCTGCTGTCTCGATTGAATTTTAACGCAGCTGCATGTTCACACGAACGTTCCCAGTCGAGGTAACAGAAATATCATTTCTTGACGCCGAGTTTTTATCAGGTCTCCAATCCCAGTACATCCCACCAGCAAAAACTGATTTTTCTGTCTGCGGACAGGTGGTGACACGCGTGAAATTTCGCGTTTACTCACAAGCGCGTCGGCGTCAACGAACACGCATTTCTCGTACTGAGTTAGTCTCCAGCAGTGCAGCTTGGTAAAAGTGATGCCCAGTTCGGGTCGAGCGAGTAGAGCCAGATTCGCCTCGTCCTTCGAGTCGAGAACGTTGACTTCCTGTACCAAGGAAAATACTGCGGCCAATTTTTCCCTGCCGGAAACGAAAAAAGCCGCTTACTCGAGTGTCGCGCTCAGTCGTGTTACACAATTATACGCTAGTCGCCGATATCTCGCAGCTGGATCGCAACATGGAATTCACGCGAAGAGCGATACCTCATCGTCGCCGTCACTCCGGGGGTGACCATGCAGACCAGCTCGTGCTTGGTGTCGACCCGGCGTAGAGAGTGCGCCAGGACCATAGCTCCCAGAGAGTAGGCATCGTTTGTAGCCAGCGTGACCCATGCATATCCTGAAAGGCAAAGGCGCATGATAAAACGCTCGACGACGCGTTCGTTTCTAGACGGACGCACCCGGGTCGAGTCTATTTTCGACCGACGACGACGACGATTCGCGGCAGAGCGAGTCTCGCCGCGTCGCGCCGCGTTGCATCCAGAGGATGTCCAGATGATGACGCGGATCTACGTACGACACAGAATTGGCAAATGGTATCGTTTTCGCGATACCAAGGCCGATCTAAATAAATTCCTCAGGCGTGTCCGATGTATTTCGCTCAGTGTTGTAACAGATATATTTTTTTAAGTAACTACTCAGTCGACACAATAATATAGCGGATATATGACATGTATGCATTTCTAAATCACATATTGTACGGCGCGAACGTAATTTTTACGTTGCTGTTACACAACAATTTTTTTTACATCTTTTTTTTTAAATACAAATAATACATATATATTAAATATCTTACTTTATACTTCATGGATGTCACAAATATGTTATATTATTATTTTTATACGGCTAAAAAGTAACTTAGCCTATATTATTACATAGATATATGTAATATTACTATATGTATATTGAAAATTTGGAAGTACCTCATCAAATAATTATATAGAGAGAGACAGTAAAATATTAAAAAAACTATAATATACTATTATAACATATTCGTTATAAATCCTGAGTAACGGTAACATTACATCAATACTTTGCACTCAACAACGTAACTGTTACATATTTTTATATTGCTACACATACATATGCTGCAATTGCAATTACATTGTTGAGTACGGGATTATAACATCGATGTAAAGTTATTGTTACATTTGAAATTATATAATTGCAATTAAACGCGTTGACTGGGTAGATAAAGATACAGATACCGAAAACAAAATAAGTAGATATAGATACAGATATAAAATAAAAGTAAATAATTAAATATAAACACATATATACTATATCACTTATTCTGAGTGCTCTTTTATCGATAAAAGGAAATAGATCTTAAGGGAAGAATACGAATATTTACCTTGAACTTACATTTGTATTGATATTACATTTCCCCTTCAGTATTTGTATCTAATGTCTGTATCTAGTTACTTAAAAAAATGTATCTGTTACAACACTCGCTGCATTTCGCGACTCGTCGCTAAGGCCGATAAGGTGTGGCTCGTGTTAGCATGCTCGGACGCGGGAGCGTGTTAATTCGATTTCACGGTTAATACTGTAATTTCCATCGAATTAGCGATCTTACGTAAACGTAATCAGGACAAGCGACGAAATTATGCCAACGACCTCCACGAAGTTCAAATGTTATCATCGCACGCAGCGGTATACGCGTTTCTCGGGAGTTTAATAAGCACGATAAGACATCTGAAACATTTTGCGATGCACGTAGGGAATTCGATGCACCCGATTTCGCCGTGCGTTCCCGCCATGTGTGAGAACGCGAAGGAATGCGAGTAGAGAAACGCTAGACGAAAAGAAACTCGCCGAAAAACGAAAATAACACTGGCAGTATATATATATATATAATTATACATCCGAAGTCGAAGGATATATATATATATCCTTCGACTTCGGATGTATAATTAGATTTCTCAGTCTCTCTCTCTCTCTCTCTCTCTCTTTCTCTCTCGTATCGGTCTCACTTCCTCTCAACGATGTCAGGAAAGAGAGGAAGAGAGAGACGCCAATCGTAATCTGATTATTTCTCATGATGTTTATGTCGTATGACCCGATCGTTCCGCGTCATATAGCAATTTCGATTGCTTGCGCTACACTGAATTAACATACGCTAAAGGCCCCTGCACATAAAGTATACGAGTACAATGGCATAACACAAGCGCTTTGACGATGAAATGATATTAACCTCTTGACCTGGCGGAAATGCAATATTCCAAGTAGAATATAAAATAACAATGACGTCAAAATGACGAGGAAATAATTATAAAAACTCACTTTTCCATCATTTTGTTATCATTTTGATGATTATTATATATTACACCAGGAACTGCGTTTGCAAAAAGTGACCCAAATTGGCGCAAACGCAATACTGTGTTCTGATAGTTTAATATTTCTAAAATTGTGTATTCAAAGGTTTCTGGAGTCGCTCTATTCAATGGCGAACTTAAAAAGTTAATTTAAGATGGGGATGGCAAATATGATAATATTATCAGAAACAAAATTACATTCACAGACACCATATTAGATCTGTCATTTTTAAGTTAGCAATTTTGATTGTTAATTCGCAATTAACAGTTAAAAAAAAAAGTTAGATATAGATATATATAAGAAATTTACAAATGTCCAATTTTATTTTGATGAAATAAAATTATAAAGTTTTAGTTGCCATATTGGATCCAGCATATTTTGAATTTGAAACATTTTATCTTCATATTCGTAAACGGTGAACTCGAAAATCCCTAGAAAAAGAGAGAGAGAGAGAGAGTCAAGGGATTAATACATATTCCGTTAAATAATGTGACCATATATTATTTACATCCTTCTACATCTAAAAGAATAATCAATCTTAGCACAGAAAACTTGCAACAGTTGCAAAATAAATGTTCTGCTGAACTGTCATTATTTGCATTCAGCAGAAAAAGGTACGATCCAGTAAGCGATATATGCTACGAAGCATTTTTCCTTCTTTTCCTTCCTTTAATCGGATCCAAAAGATAGATGAAGAATGAGAAATCTTTCAAATCATCTACTATTCTCAGTATAAATGTATAATCGTTCAAAATGTCCATACGCTTCCTTATTTAAATAACTGCTTCATGTATATACAGCAACCTATATATAACACATGAACCTATCTAGTATAGTACGAGTGATCGAATTCGCTAACAGACAACGACGCATATCTCTGCCGGTAATTCACTGACGCATTGCATTTTCATGAAACAGTCGCAAGGAAGAAAAACGACGCGCGCTAATGTTCAGTCGCAAAATCCGGCACGTGCGAAATTTTTAATTGCATAACGAGAAGCCGCTTGGCAGCGGCAATCATGAGGTGCGAAATGCGGATGTTGCGCGTCGCTTGTTTTTCACAGGCGTAAAATTCATAGCGCTTTATTTATAACGTATCCTATTTCGACGTGGCTCGCGCGCGCACATACGGATCTCGGATTTTGGCGCTGCGCTCTATTTTCCCCCCTGGATAAAACACGTCACCTATTCTTAGGAGGGGAATCTACGACGAAGCTCGGCGAAGCTCCGCGCTCGCTGCACCCTCGGTTCTCTTTTGGAGGCCGGAAACATCCAAAATCATACGAGACGTAGGTTGTGCTTGGCAACCTGCAGCTTGCAGCTTTGTCGCGTGATCCTTGTTAAGGCGTCGCCTCGCTTCTCCAGCGGCGCCAAAGTTAACAGAGTATTTCTCTGTTTTCGTTATGCACTGATAAAGGCCGTAGTAAACAAGAAGAATGGCGCAAGATGTGCAAATGGAGCGTAACGCAAGTTGCTCGCACACAAGTTCATTTATCGCCGGAGAAATCGTAGAAAATGTAGATATTTATTACTTCTGATATACCGAGAGAAACTTATAATTAGATACTCATAACAATTTGTCGTGAAACTTACAACGAAGTGATTCACTCCGAACGTGAAACTTTGACCAAGTTAGTATCCTATCGGAAGAAATTATTCGAGAGCCAATAAATCGCATTAAAATATCCGTGTATTGGCTCTTACAGATCTTTTAACTCATTGATTGGCGGAAACGCAATACTGTGTTTTAGTAGTTCAATATTTTTTTTCTGATTGAATATCTACACTCTGAAAGAAATTATAGTTATTTTTGACCTCAATTATATCCCTTTTATGGTTTTAATCATAAAAATAATAATATGGATGTAAGGTTATTATTATCACTGACGCTATAGCAACAATTACTTGAAAAACGGTTCTCCCGATTATAATTCATTTACTTCTGCAATTACAGTTACAAGCATATTGTTCTCTCAATGTGCAGAGCCTTTCTCCTTAAAATTCTTTTGACGCTAATATTGCAGAGAGCGGTCCGTTGACAGGTACGTAATCTATTCTTTCCATCGTCAAATAATCAGTCCAAGATCAGCGTTTTTCAGCGTTCGTAAGATTGATTCGCAGTAAGATCGTGAAATGTCTCAACGCTAACGCTACACTCGAGAAGGCGGATATGACGGGGATGTGTTAAGATTCAGAGCGGATAAGTGACGAGACGAACAATAATGAGTCATGAAAACGAGCGGAGAGAAAGACGGGGAGTGAACAGGGGGTAGGACTCGAGGATCGGATTTCTACCGCTGGTGTTCTCAAGAGCACGCGGAGTCGCGCCAAGGCGCGACGCCTATTCCGTCAGGACTCTCGCCGCTCGCCCGTTTATCGCTATTTAAAGCTGGACGTGTGAAAATTCCGGGAGAAACCGCCGGTCGGCAATTAGACACCTTCGTCGTGGAGAAAGTTGTCGTCGAACGAAAATCTTATACCAGCCACTCTTCCGTGCGTCTAATTTCGTAACGGGACAGTTAATCTTCCGGCCGGACGCAGTCGTCTCTCACGCGTAAATTACAACGCGGGCTGCGAAAAATCTGTCTTAGCGGCGCTATATTTAAATATCTCTCGGTCTTGCTCTCTCAACGGGAAGGATTGATCTTCCCTTTGAGAGACGCGGAATATATAACGCCGAGTATATAACGTTATGGTGTACCGGAGCAACCGAAACCCGAGAGGCAGAACGCCGGCCGGCACTCGTTTCTCCTTGTGGCGCGCATAGGTTTATATTTATACAAACCGCACCAGCTTATAATAGAGAGTCGGCCTCGCATTCGCGGCGAAATACATTCATACACCTTGTCTTAGGTCAAGCGCTTATGTGTCGTCGAGCTGAACCGACTATTTCCTTATAAGATTCGCGTGCAGCCACGGAGATCGTCGTATCGGAAATCGGCGCGACGCTAATGGCGACTTTCTCATCGATGAAAATGGACGATCCACGTTGATACCAGTTTCGAGCGAACGCCAGATGTCGGCAATCAACGTTATAGAGACCCGAGTGTACAAATGAAACAGTCCGCCACTTGTTTCGATTCTAATTACTATTATTACTCGGGGGACCCCTTCGACGCATTCTGCCTGTCAGGCTCCAATGTCGGAAGCCTGAATTCCTGACGAAAAGCAGACGAGGGTCAAGATTGAACTCGAGTAAAAATAGTACTATTAGTTGTCGATAAGATAGTCCAATGAACCTGGCTAGAGCTTTATCAACGCTGAATTTCACGTACACACACATCCGTTCTTTAAATATATATTCTTGATTAAATTATTCAATAGGTAATAAAGATGCAGTGAAATATTAAGGAGGTTCGGCCAAATATAAGATAAACTTGTAATATATACATAATACAAAAATAAATCGAACTAACAAAATGTGTAATAGAAATGTCAATCATTTTTACCATATAATTTCTGGTATATTTAATTATAAATTTGTATGTAGGAACAAGCATGTAGGAATCTCATAATATAATAAATTTCAACTAATAAATCAATTTGATAATATTTGTATATAAGATAAAAGTTTAGAAAACAGTCGTAATATCAAAGGCTAATATACATAAATATAGCATTAATAAAAACTAATATTTTCATATTTGTAGCGATATATGTGCACATACATATTTACCTCAGTTTCGTTTCAAATTAACATTTATTATTTAGCTAGTGAGATAAATGCATAAAAAGATAATTTTGTTTGATAAATAGTAAATATGTGAAAAACCCCCTTAATGCGCCACTGGAAATACGGCACTTAAGCCTGTTCTACGTCGATGTCGTTGTCGGATGTCGGAACGCCGTCAATGGTCCAATGAGGAGAATTAACTTTTGAAAAATAAATTTTCTCATTGGACCATCGGCATTCAACAGCGACATACGGCATATTGTAAAACAGGCTTTAATGAGCGAACCTCCTTAAATCTCAAGAACATTTCGAGATACTGAATTATTTCGCAGTTTTTCGCGCACGAGAGAAGAATGATTCCTTGTTATCGAGGTTCAACGATCGATAAGCGTGAATACCATTCGTATCGCCTTACTCTCAATTACATATGCCATAATTGATGTATCAATGTCGGACACTCTGGACTAGCTAACACAATCGTGACGATAATCATAAGAATGCAGTTATATCTTCTTCAAGATTAGATTTCGACGAAAGAACCATCGTGTTCGATTCCCCGTGACCTATGAACTCAACGTGAGAGCGCGTCTCTTCTCAAAAATCAAATTCATAATTCCTCTCGTACGAAATTGATTCGTTCCTTCTTTCTTTTTTATTTATATCGGTGCTTCACTCCGCTCGCGCGTCGAAGATGTGAAAATAGAGCTCGCATTTGTCCGATCCCAAATTAGCGAAGTTCGATTTATTTTCATTCGTCCGTGTTGCAGGAAATGTCACGCGGCTCAAACGACGCGCTAAATATGTATCGTCGGCGATATGTTAATGTCGCTGATCAATTCTTTCGGCGTTTGGCATATATTCAAATCGCCACCTGCCGTCGACAGGCCGACGTACGATATTGTAACGCGGCTCGGCCGCAAAATCTTTTCCTCGCCGACGAGTTCACGACGAGTCTACTTTGTTGAAGAATAAAAATAAGCGCTCGCGCGCGACGAGACGGCCGACGTTTGGCAAGAAGCCGTCGGGTTTCTCTCCCTCTCAGACAGCCAGGAATAAACTTTCGAGATACCGCCGACGGTGACTTATCTTATTTCGCGCGAAAGGAATCCGGTGTGTCTGTTAAAAAATAAAAGGTACACCGACGCGGAACGCGCAGTTAAATTTTCATCGCCGTCGCGAACTCCAAGATATCGCCTCACCTCCCAACAATTACGCTCGTTCTCTCTTGCTAATTACGCTGGCTACTAGTTAGCGCTAGTCAGTTAAGAAAACATAATTCAGCGAGAGACGAACATCGAATCGACGTCAAATCGATTCAATGTAATTTCGATTGTCTCGACGTCGATTCGATGGCTCATTTCTCTGGGACGATTCTTCACTGGCACGCAAGTTTTCTGTAAATCAAATGCGACAATAAATCTTATCGGTAAACTTTATCAAAGATCCCGATTATTCTCTCTCTCTCTCTCTCTCTCTCTCGAAGTAAAACGAACGGACTTCGCATTTCTCTGTCGACGTGTCTCGCGTCGCGTGCTATCCAGTTTTTGAATTGCCGCCAAATCCGCTGCTCCGAAGCAGGCGCGCACCGGACACCGCTCATAAAGCCGGGCGCGAACTCCGGCGTGTAGAGAAAAAAATAAAAACAATCGCGCGGACGTATCCCCGCTAATATACCTGCGGCCACATCGAATATTCCATTCTCGCAATTCGTTCGGACGGAAATTCGTTGGTACGGACGGCGGTTCCAGATCGGTCGTGGTAACGTTCGATTCGAAGGTCATTGGGTCAAGATCGACGAACGACGTTATCGACAAGCCGGACTTGAATGAACGTACGTTAATAAGCCGCCGCGTGCAAGAGAGAAGTTCGCGTAGGGAAAACTTACTGCCCATGATTGCTGCTGCTTGCGACCGACTGAAGCTTGAACGCTCTTCTTTTCCTCTCCCTGAGGGAAACGACGTACGAGATCCTCACACACCCACTACTCGCCGGCACAGTGCTGCGCGACACTGACTGACGGGAGACGGAGCGTGCACACTTTGTCACTGCTGCAACACGAATGACGACGGTGGCAACGACGGACGACGAGCCTCGGCTCCGGCAGCTCCGCCAGATATTACTCCTCCCTCCTTCGCAGCCGGCTGGAATAAGCGGCGCTCTACCCTAACCTCACTATACGAGCGTAGATTGTAGCGGCTGTTCCAAAAGCTGAAACGTTGAAACTAGGGTTGGGTGATAACTAGTTAATCAGTTTAAAGTTGAGAAGTTAGTCATTTTTAACTCGAATCGGTTAATTTCTAAACGAATCCACTTTTAATTTAAATCACCGAGTGAGCAAGAAACATTAAATCAATCTTTTAAAACGTTGATTTTACGTGGATTATGTAAACATTTTGACATAATATTTTGTTATAAATAATATATTTATAATAATTATAAATAATATTTTGTTAAATATAAATTTATTTTATAAATGTTTTTAAACTTGATTGAATATAATATTCTTAAATATTAAAATTATATTGTAGAAATATTATTTTTAATGTTTGGGTCAAATATTGTTAACAATAACGTTGTCCACACAGCACGTTGCAGCAATGTTGCTACAAGTTTCCGTGCTGTATGGGTGTATACAACATTAAGAACTGTTTGAGAACATTTCGTGTTATAAAATATCATTGTAATAAAGTTGTATTAATGATTTTTTGCTTAGAGGATAGTTAAAATGCATTAACTGTAACTTATTATTTTTTCATAAGTTGGAGTAAATCATCATTATTAAAATCATTGCGAGCTACTTACAACAGAGAAAAAAAATAAAAAAATAGTGTCAGCAAATTTTTTTTTCGTCCCTCCTTGCGTATTAATGCGCTTTTTTACGTAGAAATCTGAACACAAAATCGATATTTTCTTATAGTAGACTATTTCCATTATTTAATTCACGATGAAGAAGTTATTTATGCAAAAACACATATATGGTTTTTAAATTATTAACTTTTAACTTTAATAAGTTAATTTAATTTTAATTTAACTTTTATCATAAGTTAGTGTTTGTTTATGTAACTTTTAACTTAACTAAGTTAATTTTATAAGCTATTAACTTTTAATTCTTAACGTAGTTAAAAGTAAAAATTAGCTTATTCAATCCTGGTTGAAACTACATTTATATGAAACAAATTTGTCTCGGGAGAGAACAGGTTAAATTCGTGATCTGCTACGGATGCAGTTTTATTAATGAGATATGATAAACAGAAGATTTTTTTAATTCGACGTTAATTACTAGTAATCGGTATCAGTTATGAGAAAAACAAGAAAAAAAGTGAAGACTTGCGCGTGCGCGAGTACATTTGAATCTGGCGCATTTCCCTCCTTTTTGTCAGGTAGAGAGGTTAGTTCGCCATTTCCCGAGTAATGGCGCTAAAATCGTTCCCCGTCCTCCCCCACCCGGTCACAACAGGAAAGTTTTACCCCCGGACTTCACGGAAACATAACACTGACGGGTATCGTACTACTTTGAGAGGTTAACAAACAATACTATAATGTCAGAAAAAAGTTTGTCGAAGAGTTTGCGTGTTGAGAAAGACGAGAAAGACCCTGCGACATTGTCGGAGCTGTTTGATAACGCCTTCGAACTGTTCAACGGCATTAACAAAACACAGGAGCCTACAAACAGCCCAAAAGTACAGGTACATCGGAAGTTGTAAAACTTTTGTTTCTTCCGGCATCTCTGCGCTATGTATTTCGCTTTTTTCCGCACGCAACTCGCCAGAAGGGAAGAAATGCATTTGATTTCTGTGCGTTGCAACTTTTGTCGTGAATAAGTTTACATATTTGGATTTATATTCTGTTGTTTTTGTTATTGTTTACCACAGTCAGACATAAGGCGGACAATGAGTATGTTTGAAGATGCAACGAGACTGGTCTCTATAGTGGATATGTTCAGTGACAATGAAAGTTTCGAAGAAGTGTCAACAGAAAATGTCAAGTACTTCTTGCTGCCAGCTCTATTAGGCACACTTACTACTAAAATCTGCGGCAACGACGACAGAATGCACATTGTCAAGGTAGCAGAGATCTATTTTGTAGATTTCCTGAAACGTGTCAAAGTCTATGGTCTGACGGATGTTGAAATACCAGAAATTAATTCAACTGATGGGAAAGATGAAGCAGGCGATAATCAAAACAAATCAAATAAGGAAACTATCACCGAAATGGTGAGCTTTCTACTCTCACGTCATTATTGAAGACACTCCATAATTATTTCAGTGACAATCTTGTCCATCTTATAGGTGTGTCGGAGAAATACGAAATTGCAAAGATACAAAGAACAGAAGGACTTGGAATCTCGGTTAGACATTCTGAAGAAAAATTTAGACAATCCCAACATCGACGACGAGACCAAGAGAGAATACTTCGTTACCCTTCTAAAGTTATATATAATCCAAACGATCGAGGAGTTGAATTCGTTGGCTGCGGAGAAGACGATTTTGGAACACATGAAGAGAATGGGACGACCACACAATTTGCCCTCGCAGATGTCCCAAAAACAGAAACCACCTACTCCAAAACTACAACCGATTATCATTACTCGTGACGAGTTGCAGAAGCAGGTTTATGGCGCTGGCTATCCGAGTTTACCAGTCTTAACGGTCCAAGAATTCTACGATCAAAGGGTCAAAGATGGAGAGTAAGGGCACATGTCACTTTAAACCATCAATAAGACCGGTATTCATAGTCGAATCTTATACATAAGACCATCTTAAGTTCACCTTCAGATGCTGTACGGTTCATTTTATTGGCTACGAAGATGAACTTACGACGATCTTAAATATAAGATCTGATTATGAATATTGTCTATGAACACTGGTCTAAGTTCTTTAAGTTCGAAGTTCTTTAAAATTTACCAATTCTAAGATCTCTTCACACGTGGTTTCTGGTATCTGTTTCAGTTGGCCTGATCCGTCACAACGTAACCAAATGAACTCTCGATGCCTACAAAATATGGCGAGTAGCGACAAAAGTTCGAACGAGCAAGAAGACACCGAAGCCGCCGAGAAGGAGGAGAAGATCGAAAGGGACGATCCCGAGTTCCTCACACAAACGCGCGCCATGGATGAATACAAGGACACGCATCGCCGCGGTTGGGGCAATCGCGCCAACAGAAGTTAAACTTTTAAGAATTATATTTCCAAAATTCAGACGCGGATGTTGCGGTGTGTGCCGTACCGACACCATTTTCCACGTTTCCGTTTCTCGAGGAACTCGAATGCCGCGTGACACATTATGCTTCGCCGGATCTTACGCAACGTCGCAGGACCGTCTTAAGAAATATGGGTTAATGGTAGAGGAAGATGCTAATTTTCCAAGCGGACTAAAAACAGACATGCACGCAGGTGAACGCGAATTCCACGAACAAATCGGCGGAGTGAGCTCTCAGCAGGGGAAATAAACGGAAGATCGCACGAATTAAATGTGGAAATCTGGAAGATCGCAACCTCCGCGAAGTCGAGACGATTTTCCAGCCGGAATAACTTTGTTTAGTCTGAGCCGATGATGGAATAAAAAGAAAGGGAAATCTACCTCCACCCGTTCCCGACGATTAAGGCAGTCCGCCGCGTCTTTTTCAGAGAGCTGTATCATATATTTGCGCGCGCGCGCGCGCGTTAAATCTATAGTAAAGTTTTGTTAAGTTTTAACAATACGACGCGGGAAGACGACGAGTATCGGTCTTCGGTTTGAATACGCTATTGTTGCCCATTAAAGAGGAGAATAAAGTCGTGAGTAATTTATTACGGAATCCGCGTGAGAATCCGTCGAAAGAAAGAAGATTCCTCGCATTCACCGTCCCAGATCCCTCCACGCGCTCTCGGAAAATGCGTCTCGCTCGAGCCCCGCCCGTTCGCGCGTCTCGATTTCGATGTTAATGATTCATGATGTTGTAATATACGCGTGAGCATCTGTGAATGGCTGTCCCGATATAGCCTGCTCCCACCGTAGAAGGCTATTGCGTATGTACCGGTAGTGATGAGCTGAAAACGCCTCGAGTCGCTCCGAGTGTACGACGCAACGGCATTTTCCTGCCTATCCGTTATCACCGTGCTCGAGATTTTTCAGATTTCGCCCGCGATTTCGCAAGGCCCGCTGAAACTTCCAGTTTCGAGGTATATTCGAAGCCGTTTGAATCCTCAAACATTTGGATTGTTTGAACGTACGAGGAGATTCGAGCGCCCATCGCTACGTACGTGGCCGTGCGCGCCGTGTAAAAATGTGCCTCAAGCGCACGCGCACACCCACACAGCGCAATCTGAACTGTGTATGTGTGGAGATTGGTGCGATCAACAGTACCGTAAGCTAATGCCGCCGCGGGAGTGCTCTCCACGGTACATTGTTGCGCCGATAATTGCCAGTCTAATTTCCACAATCGACGCCGACATTTTCGCGTTCGCGTAATAACTGTAGCTGTCGATTGTTTTGCGCTAACACGACTGATGTGCGCGCAAATTCAGCGATATCGCTACACCTTTTCAGCTCCTCTTATCGTGCTTACCGTTCCTGCAGTTCCTTCGCCGTGATCCTAAAAATATAGCAGCGCTGCGTAAAATGACGCACAAAGCGCAATCTCGACGGGAACAATCATCGCTCGACGTAAACATCGAATGAGACATCGCGTCTCATTTCGCTCTCGTATCTGTGTGATATCTCGGTTTTGGAGGAAATTACTCAGTTCCGGCATTATAAAGAACCTATCAGTCAAGATTGGATAAATTAACTTCTTTTTTGAAGTTAAAAGTTAATGGCCTATACAATTAATTTAGTTTAGTCAAAAGTAATATAAACAGAAACTAATGAAAAGTTGAGTTAAAAAAATTGAGTTAAAACTAAATAATTATAATAAATTATATAATAAATTAAATAATTATTAAAATTTAATTATGCGAAATTATATATATATATATATATAGTTTAGAAGAATGATTATGCACATGGTCTCGCATAATTAGCTTTTAACTTCTTAAGTTAATCGACCCAATCCTGCCTATCAATAACGACACGAATTCTCGATACCTGCAAGGGAATTTCGCTCGAGTACAGATCGTTATTTTTCGTTCGGAAGCAGCGCGAGAAGCCCACAAGAACGAAAGATCACGACGATCGGTCCACAGTCGTTTTTCTCGCCGATATTTTCCGCCCGTCGGCCGGAAATCCAACTTTGAATACACATCTGCTTGATTTTGGTGCGTGGCGCCGAAAATCCCAGCCATCTTCCTGGCTGGCGTTCGCTGTGGAAGATGGCGTCAACCCTGAAGTTACCGCAGCGCAGCAGGTGTCACTCCACGAATAGGTAGAAAAAGAGGGAAAAAAGCCGAGAGTCTGTATGCGTGCGCGCTCAATGATTTGCGCGCGCGCGCGCGTATATGCACACATTCGCAACATGGCGGTCGACTATGTGCCTACGCACGTAAGTATAAGCGCATATGTGTGTGTGTGTGTGTGCGCGCGCAACAGGTTGCGGCCGCGTTTGAACGCGTCTTTTTTCTCTCGCGGCGTGTTTGCGCTCTTGGATTAGCGGCGCGCATATTCTACGAGCGAGTGCATGCACGTACGTACGCTCGCACGCGTTGCCCCCCGCCCCCCCATCGTTGATCTTCGTCGCGATGTGCGTTCGCGCGCGGAATACATTAGGACTTCTTGGAAGCGGCTAGCCTCGAAAAGTCGCACTTGGCATTCCCGAGTGACTCTTTAACGTGCGAGTTCTTCCGCTGTGGATTAAAAAAAAGCGGATCGCTCGCTCGCGATCCTTCTTCCGTTGGTATCCCCGTTTATCTCTCTCTCTCGCTCGCTCTGTTTAAATCTCCCTTTATCTCACAGAGTGGAACTCGCTCCCGAAGCACGATGAGCAGTCGCCTGCTGCACACGTCATTGAGACCCACGCGAAGGAATCCTGTTCACGACGTGCGTGTTCCATTCATGAAGAGGACGTTGCGCTGTCATAAGGTGCGTTCGTTCGGTATTTGCCGCTGCGAATTAGGTTATGTGTCGAAACGTATACCCCGTGCAGTACGGGTTATCGTGAACGGTGATATTTTTGCACTTTGCTACGTAAGGTGTGTTCGTTACATTGCGTGTGAGTGAGAGAGCTGGTTACGTCGTGTAAGATAGGCCGTGATACAGGCGAAGCTAATTATTCAAAAGACCACAGACGATGGTATGAATAATTTATTGTCTGCTTCGTTTATTGTGCTTTGTCTGTCTACTGTTCGTACGTTTGTCGTGCAAAAGTACGACGTTGGAAATTGCGCTTGGTGTGATACGTGTGTGAGTATGTGTGTATGGAGATGCGCGATTCGACTTCACTGAAGTTAGCTCAGATCCCCCAAAACTTGTGAAACGGGCGAGTTGTTCGAATAATGACGCGCAGAAGGAAGATCTCCGCTCCGAAACCAAGTAATTGTTCACGTTCTTAAACTGCCGTTTGCATATTCGATGTGATTTTCGCTTGTGAGCTTACTCGAGTCGTATATTTTCAAAATTTGCGCCTGTAATCCTGATTGCAAACGAGACATGAATATGTCGTTCAAATTAGATCTGTCTTGATCGTGTTCAGCCATTTTAGTCTTATTTGTGCAGTATGAAATTTCTAAAGATCGAATTTTGAAAATAATAAACTCTATTCTTTAAAACTTGTCGCACCTGTTGTTTGATCTTGGATCTTGGTTTGATTACGGGATGGTAGTACTAGTTGTAATACTATGTAGCATGATGATACAGCTATAGATATCTTTCTCATATTACTTATGATATCACTCATAATGAAGATAATCTCACATTTATAATATCTATCTATGTTTATCTTGAATGAATGTCTCAATAATCGTGACATTATCTTTCTGAATCATCCATGATTAGGCTAAGTAAGACGCAAATAAGGTATAAGTAGGGAGTAACAGTTTTTTATATGATTCATACAACTGTCTATATATATATATATATATAGATATCAAAGTAGTAGTCACGTATTCAGGAGTGACAGAATTCTCAAATGCTTCCAATGGCTGGTTAGTTGGCGAATACATACACAGTACCAAAGATACGAGAATAAAGGAAACGGAAACATGGATAGAGAACACAATGCTACCTACACGAGAGATGATAACCACCTACTCGAATACTGGGAGGAATATCAGAAGATGATAGAGGAAACAAAAATGTTGGATGATTATCTGGATGAAGAATGCAGCCCACGATGTTACGATGGTTATTAAAAAATACATATTTTAATTATATTTACTACAATTAAATATGCAATTTTTATTACAATTACAATTCTGTATCCTGATTCTGTCCAATCTTAATAGTCATTGTCTAACAGAATTTATAAAAAAAGAATGTAAAAAATTTGCCTATCAGGCACTTTATTCTAAAAATTTTGTATATTTCTTTACAGAAGGGGAAGAAGAAGCTGAATGGTTACGTGCAGCAGGTTTAGAGCAATTAACGGAAGCATGGAAAGCAGGTAGAGAAGTACAACCAGAAGAATTGGGAGCAGTCTTGCGTCCTCTGTCGCGAGCCCAGGCAGAGGCTGTGAAACGTCGCGTGAAGTCTCTTAACCACACGGTTAAACAACGCTTCAACCAGCGACAACGTGTTCGTAAACCAGACATTCGAGACGTTTTTAAAGATGTCGAGGTATGTTAAGCAACTGATATAACGACGATTAGATAAATGAAATACTCCTAGCTCAAATCTACGATTAATCTACAAGTTTATCTTTCATTTATTCAGGTGTCCAGCACAGGCACACGATCACGTAGTGCCACTCCTGACTCGCTAGATTCAGCCCCAGGTGCTTCACCGGAAAATGCATTACCTCCTTCGCCTCCAACAGTCACCGTGATCGATCATCCCCATCAAAGGTAAGAATGTATCAAATTATAATGTTGAATATATTTAGCTTTCCTTCTACGTACTCTCTTACGATATAGACTCATTTCAATTGCTCGTAGTCCTGCTGTTCCGAGTTTCGTGTCCATATTTCATCGTACTTCGAATGAAGGGAAAGCGACAGTTCGTAGAACACCAAGTGCGCCGCAGACAGTTCTGAATTCTGTGCCAGCTTCCGCCCCAGCACCTGTACCTGTACAAGAAATTTTTAGGAGAACCGGCAATTGGTGGAGAGGAGATGTTGCAAATGACTCAGGTACAGTCGTCTTTGCTCTGCCAATTGAATACAGCAAGGAGAAACAATCAAGGGTTTTATTTTGATACTTGAAGCATTGCTTATCATTGCAGAAGGAATTCAGCTCACCGGCTACCATAGATTGGGAACGATACATGTTTCCAGGTCGCTTCAGAGGCACAACGGCGGTCTCAGTGACGTGGAAAATACGGTGCATTTGGAGACTGAGTCGGCTAAAAAACTGACTGTACCAAAGGATTCGACGCTCCGGTAAGTCGAAAATAATCTGTGCGGCGCTTCTAATCGAGTTCTCGAGATTGTTCTTGCAATAGCCGTTTGATACGATATTTCAGACGAAGTTCGGGAAGCCATGCGACGGTGACTCGGAGTCACAGCAGTTTGTACGGTTTGACTAGGCCAGCGGATGAGAATCTAATAACTCATCCGTTAAGTCGCACATCGTCGCACGGCCATCTTAGTTTCGAGGAGATGTGCAGAACTAACGAAGTCAAATCCGACATGTGGCCTTCTGACAATCTCGTAGCTGACGACGATTACGCCCGGCAAGAGGTAGAGCTGCTGTCGCAACGAGATCTCACGAGACTGCAGCCTCTTCTGTGGCTCGAGCTGACGGCTATTTTTGATAAATATAATATACCACTTACAAGAAGAAAGCCTAATAAACGACGGAGAAAGGCTGGAAATTTGTTCAGCGTCTCTTTGTCGACGCTGCTGCTCAGGGACAGTCAATTGACTAGCGAGGAAAATAACATACCATTAGTGTTCCAAAAGATTCTTAACGAATTGACCAAACGTGGAGTGAAAGAAGAGGGTATTCTTCGTGTTGGTGGCCATAAACAAAAAGTAAGTGTGAATTAGAAAGTATTTGGTTAAAGTATGGCAATAATAATAGTGAATAATTAAGAAAGAAAATTATAAATATATATGTGTGGGGTAATTATTAATTGTAGGTAGAAATGATCTGTACGGAGTTAGAGACAGATTTTTATTGTAAGCCGAAAGAAATTGATAAATTGTTTAAACGGACTCCGTGTCATGACTTGTCAGCCGTATTAAAGAGATTGTTGCGGGACTTGCCGCAACCTCTTCTCACCGTTGAGCTGATTGACGCCTTCTATCAGAGTCACGGTTAGTTTGATTATCACTCATGCTGCATATGTATATCTGTCAGTGTGTGTGTGTATGTATACTAATTAATTGAACAAATAATTCATATATACACAGGTGTGAAGAGTCCCCACGACTTGGTATACTCTCTCAATTTGTTGGTGTTGTTGCTGCCTGTCGAGCACCGATGCACCTTGGAGGCGTTGTTGAACTTCTTGAAGCTGGTTATCGAGAATCAGGCGTGGAACAAGATGTCGATACACAACGTAGCGATGATAGTAGCCCCGTCGCTGTTTCCACCGCGGTACGTTCATCCTCGGGATCGTGCCGATTTGACTGCTCAAGTCAACATGGCCGCCATATGCTGTCAAGTAACGGAGGCTCTGCTCAACAATGTCGACAAGTTGTGGTACGTACCGACAGAACTTATAAATCAATTGCGCCGGCAATCCGAGGTAGAGAGATACCGTAAATACAAGAAAAAGTATTATTGATCGCAGTTAGGTGACTTAAAGAATTAGTGGTATATGCGTAATTTTACATGCGTAATCATAAGTAACCATGGTGCCTGTCTGCACATCACGAGATCTGCAGCATTTCGTCTTGTAGACTATAAGACATCCTATAAGGTTAATTAATTAATTAATTAATGTTACTTAAGCGATTGTTTTTTAATGGTCGTTTAGAGTCAGTTATGATACCATACTTCTCACCTCATCTTTAATATGTTTATCATCGCGCGTTATCGCATGTTACGTTTACTGCTGGTTTGCACATGTTGTGTGTGCAAGTGAATTAATAATTTATCTGTCTCGAGGTGCAATAATTTAGTAAAATAGACTTTTCGTTATTTCTCCACATGTATACTAGATGTCGATATAATTTACTCAAGAACAACTTTCCATATAATTTACAGACAAGGAGGAATTTATTTCTGTTAGGATTTTACAGAGCGACAAATATTAACATGTATATTACGATTGTACTACGAAGTAGCAGTTCGTACAAAATAATTCCAAGTGTCGTATCTTTCGATTGGGTGCTATAGTATCTATCTCAGTTCATATTTTTAATCAATAATATTTATTTACGATTGTGTATAGGTAAGATATGCTACTGTTAATTTCATATGTTATATAATCATGTATAATACAATACGAGTGGCATTTCAGATATTATTATTATAGTTGGCTTTAAGTTTTATAATTTATTACATTATTATTAATAACAGTTCATAGAACCTCATTAGGATGATTATAATTTCATCGATCGTTGTTTCTCTGTTTGACACAGGTATTTCTTTTTATTTTGATTCACTTATAGGAAAGTTTAACAGACGTAGTCAGGGATAATATCTCAGTTAACTATGAAATGGCCATTATGGAATCGTATAAATCTTGTCGTTATAATCACGGAAGGTTCTGGTTGTTGTTCGTTATATGGTCCTAATTTCTTGATATACAATAATGTTAACTATGTGTCTCCTTATAAAATTAAGCAGAACAGGATTCTATTAGGCTGACGTTTATCCAAAATCTCCGATGGTGCACGTGTCTATTATTGCGACATATCGTTTCCATAGGAGTTTTAGTGTGTCGTCTCATCGTTTCATACGCCATATTATCTTAAGACTTTTGTATATATCACTTCGTAAGTTGTTATTTGCGTTAATAAAGTGCCAAAGAAAATTACGATTGTGTGAATGTCTTCCGTGCGTTATGTGTCGTCCGTAAGGCGTGGAAAATAGACGGAACAGTGTGTGGAACATATATATTAGTCTGGATGCCGCATCTGCTACAGAAACTATTGAATTGTTCAACGTTATTTTAAAACTTTTCAGGATCTTCCTCGAACGTGTCCTCCGATGAATCTGTAAAACAAATATTAAAATATAAGAAATCATTTTCAGTTGTTTTCCTCGAGAAATGGCACCTTATGCGTAGAACGAGAGAAACATTCATCAGTCGTACTCTCCCGTGGTAATTGTTCCTTTGATTCCAGACCTTGATCCTTCTTTTCTGTATTCCCATCCTGCGGTATTGTCTGTTTATTTTGGAAAGTGAGGAGCCTTAATTAAAATAATATTTATTTGTTATCAGAGCTTCTGCGCATGCGCATATGTTCTGCGCATGAACGATCTCGAAATCTTCATCAGAAAACGCGTATTTTTTATATGCATTGCTCTCTCGAAGCGAATCGGTGATCATTTTTTCTGATTAAATCAATGATTAAATCAATATATTTCATCGATATCAATGAACTCACTGCTGTTAGTTATCAGTCTTATATCTTTGATTTTGGCCGTTGAAAATAAGATTTCACTGCACTGATAGACATTATAGTTATTTTCGGCGTCAACTATATCCTTTTTTTTATTTTAACCGCAACATTATATATAGTAGTAATAATATATAGTATAACAATATATATGTAAAGTTATTATCACTGACATTAGAACAACTAGAAAATGGTTATTTTCTGTCTTCTATATAATTTTCTTATTATGGTTTATATAAATATATATTTATAGTATTATAGTTACAAATACCAAATATTTTTCTATTAGTGCAAAATCCATGGTATTCTGCTGACTAAGAAAAAAAATTAGTCTCAAATAAAAAATAGATATTCTCATACATAAACAAGAATATTTTAATCTTAGAAGAGAATTATAAGAATATCTCTTCTTGATTTAAGACAAATTTTTTTTGTGTATTATTAACTAAATTTTTTCAGCGACATTTTACCGATTGCAGTGCTTTATTTATAACTGAATTCACCGTTTTTCAATGATAATATATTGAACATACTGATTCCACTTTAGGAAGTAACGATCGATCGATCGATCGATCGTAGTTTTTAGAGTCTTCTCTGAGAAAAGGCCAGGTCCGGATTGTGTATCTTTATTTCATCTTTATTTCGAACCACGATTTGTGTTTACGAGTAACAGTAAACGCTTTTATTGTCACACTTGCGAATCTACGAGATGCGACAATACACACACTCTCTCTCTCTCTCTCTCTCTCTCATTTTCTTATAGGCTCTACGGACATTACTACGCTCGTCCATAGTTATAGCTTCGATGATAAATTCAACGATCAAATCATTAATTGCGCATTTCTCACCGGGTCGGATCTTCGTCGTGCTGTTGGCGAGAATTTCTATGACATTGGAATTATCCATGATCGCCAATTTGGTGCCCAATAAACGACAGTATATAGCGGCTTCCTCCTAGGTGACTCTGGTAAGGTAGAAAGTGTACGTGCGTCGTTGAATCCGCACCCATTTGGAGGGCACAGGTTTTCCAACATCTTCCTTGAAACCTGCCGATGGAAATTCGCCTTATTACTCTCTAAATTTCTTATAGTGTAGTCTCGAAACAAACAGAAAGAGGTAGTATTTTCAAAGCGATCGTGAAAACATTACCACTCGAAATCGCAAGAATGAACGTTTCATTCAAGTTCAGAATGGATTCGGACTCTGTGTGTGTGCGTGTGTGTGTACGGATGAATATTTTAATGGATTAAAGTGAATTTCCCGTGAAAGGAAAGAGAGTTTTACATTCTTACCTGTTCTATATATTATGAGAGAGAGTTTTGCATTCTTACCTGTTCTATATATTTGTTATTGCTGCTTATATTGCATCTCCATCGTGGAGGTAACTAAAATTCGCTATATGGATTTTCGCTTATTTTTTCGATATTACGTTATTATAATTTTGCAACGATACTCACACGTGTTTAGTATTACAACGATGACGATACAAATTAACATGTATATCGGCGAATTTCTTGATATTATCAGAAACTTTAATTACCGCACAGGAGTGATTTATTGGTCGTTGATTTACACATATACTTAAATTAATACACACACACATGTATATTCAAATTAATACATACAGAGTACTTAATCTTTTTCTCAATTCACACAACACACTTAGCTATCCTTCGCATTTGCATTCTAAAACCGGTATGTCGTGTGAAATTTTACGTCGAGTGCGTGCACTTGGCATTAGTTTACAAAGCAGCGTGATTCATAGCGATTTAAGGCGTGATATATGCCCCCGATCGCCAATCGAAATCGATTGACGTGCGTGCAGCGAAGCGTTAAAATTCAATTATCGTTATGCAGCTGAGAATATATTTTTACTATGACATTTTTACATTTACGTCTCAATCGGTTATATAATATTTGAAATAAATAGTGGAAACCCGAATCGAAATTTTCGACTCGGAATTCATATCTGATAATGTGCGTCAAATCGCAATGAATAATCGCGTGAATAACAACGTCGAATCACGTATAATATGCGATAATATTATAATTTTTGACGTCACGCGAGAAAAATTCATCGTACAGACGCGATGACTCTCTCCATGTCCGCATCGTCGATAATTGGTGCGAATAGTTCTCCAGCCAATTCTCGAGGACAGCATCCGGTAAGTATAGGTAAGACAAATAGGATCCTGATCAATTTGGCGTCACGATCGTCTCGATGCTGATGATGCCGAATCAGAGCCTCCATGGCGTTGTCTCTCGCCCGCGACATTATACGAAAGCTGTCCGCGGTATTAGTGATTTCTGTAATTTAAGACGCATATATCTAATCAATCTTTCTTTTTGTGTCATTTTTGTCTCTTTAATCAGGGTGTCTATTGTCTGAAAAAACTTGAAAATTCTCAGGGAATTTTAATGAAAATCAGCGAATTTTAAATGGACATTTACATCTGTAAGCCATATTATTGTTCATAGACAAATATTATGTATTTGATGAAATTTTATATAATAATGCTTTCTTTATTAAGAATAATAACAAAAATAGTTTAGGATTTTTCAATTCTAGTTAATTAATTTTAATTTTAATTAATAAGAAATGAAGCGTTATATAAATCGTAGGCGCGAATTTATTAACATTCTACATATATGTACATTTAAGATTATTTTTAAAATTCTGTTTAAAATACTTTCATTTTACTTGAAATTTTTAACAAATTTCCTAGAAAAGGAGGGAATTCTCCGGGGATTTTTTTCAGGTTTAATAGACACTCTGTTAATCTTCTCATTGTTTCGTGCAATTTTTTCATTTACCGGGTCGACACAGCACGAACGTGTCCAAAATGCACAGTTCGACGTCGTCGAGCTGCAGTTTCGCAATTGCAATGCGCGCCGCGATTAGATAAGCCGATGCACCGTCGTTAGTAGTCGCGTTTTGCCCACGTATATTCATTATGTCGACCGGCCACGTGGCCGCACGCAAAATGAAAAGGGCGGACCAGCCACGACGGAGAATCTTATTTTGCTCTTCCACGTCCAGCACCGAGAAGTCTCGATGTCGACGGGCACTCTGAACGGCAGCCAGGAATATCTGCGCGGAGATCTCATACTGTATGGTCGTTCCTGATGTAACATAAAAAACGTATTTGCTTTATTTATTCCTGGAGAATAAATGTCGCGATAAACATTATCACGATCATCCGGTGTCGTAAATATTCAACGGATGGAAGTTACCAGGCGATATAATCCTCGGTTGTATCTGGCGCGACAAGACGGGAAAGATGATCTCCTCCCTGGTGTCGGACGCTTGTATCGTCTTCATCAGTAAAGTATTGTTCAACGTGGAGTTCTTGAAAGGCAAATACACCTCGGAGCTGTTGAATCGAGCATAGAGAGTTCCCACTGGGTCAACTTTAGGCTTCCAGACGGTGTTAGAATTGTGCGGGCTCGATAGCGCGTTACTTCGAATTCGCGGCCCTCTTTCTTCCTGTACCGCTATAAAAATTTTTAAATCTCGAGAAATTCCGATGCCTTAAAAATTTGAAAAAATTTTGACGCCTTAAAGATTTTTTTTTGTAATTTTAATGCCTTTAAAAATGTATTCGATATTAAAAGTTTGGTATTCCATAAATTATAGAGAATGAAAGGGCGTTCTTTCGTTTGGATTTACGTCAACAATCGTGTGTCCACGCGTGTTTCCGTCTATCTACGAGAGGAACTTTTGTTATACTTGCGTCTATCGTTCGTTATAATCGATATGAGAACGCGTAACGACGACGTCGTCAAACAACTCCACGGGGGGATAGCTTTAACTCTCCGATCAGAGGGTAAGCTTTGTGTACTCAAGAGCTGACCACCGAAGTGACACTCGATGTCGTTTCACGTGACACGTTGTAGCAATAGCTACCGCTAAATTATTTACAAGATTATCCACACGAAAGATGTAACTGCGGCAAACTGCGGTAACTTACTTGTGAATGTGTTTTACAGTTTCCATTATTTTATATGTTTTTTATGAATATTTTACATGACTGTGTGTGCACACATATAGGTTTGATTCATTAAAAATATTCTTATTTTTATTAAATTCGTTTCTGATTAAATATATGACGTTGGCAATTATAAAATACGTATGTTATGTAATTGTGTACAAAATATATTTTGTAGGTTTCATTTTGACAACACGTACGGAGAACACAAATCTTGCTAAAATAGCAAATGTTTGTCAATATAGTGACAGCAAAAAATTTGTTTGGACAGAAAGATTTGTTAAGAATATTAATTGCTATTTGCTGGATATATGGATAATCAATACTCTTAACAAATCTTTCTGTTGTCCAAACAAATTTTTTGCTGTCTAAACAAAATTTTTTTTTGCTCTCACTATATTGACAAATATTTGCTGTTCCAGCAAAATTTGTTTTCTCCGTGCAGATCAAGCAATAAATATATTTTTTGCGAAATAACAGGGAGCATGTTAAATATTAGATTTCATTGTTATTTGTTTTGCTATTTTATCGTAAGTCTGTTGTCAATTAAATTTTCCGGGTAACATTAAAGACACGTGCCTAACACACGCTATTGTTTGCATCTCGTTGAGTTCGTTAGCACTTGCTAGACCCTGCTGTGACTACCCGTCGACGATGACCGTCGCGCATTTCGTGAGATCTTCTCGGAGATATCGCGTCGAAATTAATGAATATTTTACCACGCGTGACAACAAGTGATGTTTAAGTTGATAAAATCTAAATCCGCGTGAGTCGCGAAATTTGCGAAAATTTCGAGAGGTGGAGGAAATTCCATTATTTCGAAGTAGAACGTAAACGCAAGGTAAAAACTTGATAACAAAATTATCCTTCAATACAGTTTATAATGCTTAATTCAGCCAAGCCCGGTGCATTAGATTTCCGCTTACCTGCCGTGTTCATGCCGACGGAGAAACATTTCTTTAGACGACAATGCGGACAGAAATTTCGTGTAGCTTTCGCAACGGTACAAGAGCCCGTAGCTAAAAGATGGCATGCCCAAAATTACGATATCTCTCTCTCTCTTTATATATATATATAGTGTCTTACCTGGATTAAAAAGTGTACCGACCTATACAGGTGAAGAGGGCACCTCGGCGCACAGATCGCTTGAAGAAGCACGAGCAGCCGTCGCAGCAATAAACACCATAATGTTTCCCGTACGATCGGTCGCCGCATACTTTACAGGAAACCGGTGTAGGCAAAGTTCTACCTGTCGCGAGAAACATCATCGTTCGTCAGTTGAAAACGCGAGCAACTCTTATGCCCATTTTACGCGTTACGATTCTTAACGATCGTCCCTCCCTTTTCCCGCGAGATAGCCGTATATTCATATTGTATGTATTCACTATTACGCCACCGGGAGACCGCCGGCTACCGAGAAAGTGAAAAAGATATTTATTTACCCATGTTTTTGTTTACTCTACTTCGCAAGCTTCAGATCGCAATTCGAGCGTGACCTCCGTGAAGACAGACCGCGCGGCGACGCTTCGTCGTTGATCGCGAGCGATTCGAGCGATAGTGTCCGACCACGTCCGCAGGTGAGAACGAACTCTACTGCGATGTGAAACGTACCCCTTATCCAACGAAGGTTCATGGAGACGGGGCGGTGAAATCGGATTTGTACGACCTGTCACTCCGAACGTCAGAATGCGGAAGGATAATATTTGCGGTGGACTGGTCGAGTGTGACACCGTTCTTCGATCGTCAAATTATTTCAGAATAGGCCGCAGAAAGAGACGGTGGCGAGATGTGCTGTTGAGTCTACGGTGGCGAGGAAGGCCGAGATTGGCGCGGTTTTTAATTAGCGTTAAATACGATCGTCCGAAATTTGTTGGCAAAAGCGAAAGAAAAGCGCCGTGTTCGATGATTTAATTAATACCGCTAACCGTAATAAGGTAGAATTGTGATATTTTTTTTTTTTTAAAGGTCTTAGTCTTAATTTCTTCTTCTTTTTTTTCACAATGTTTCGTTTGATGTTACGTGGACGCGCGAAAATACGCTAAGCAAAAATTCACGGAAAATTCAACGCTGTTGCTCTCGCGTGTATTCGTGATCCGTCGCGAATTTCAATCAACAAGAAGGTGATTTCAGCTTCTTTTTTTATTTATCAGTGATACAATCAGGCGTGAAAAACGCCTCTGACTTTACACAAATGATATCAAGTACTTTTCGTCGTTGTACAAGGTGGTTTGTAGTTATCCTCGTCACTTTTGAATATGTACAAATAAACCGATTTGCCTTCTCAAGCAATATCGCTACAATTTATGTGTTACGTCACCACGTTATCGTTATGCTCACTGTTATCGCATCGATAACTTATTTATTCATATTCAAAAGTTTAAAGGGTATTTTATCGCAATGGTGCAGTGCGAATCGGTGATTTATGCTTTCTATTCGTTATTGATTTTTATTGAGTCACCAGATTATTCCGAATGAGACATCTCTTCCCTCACGGCTCACGGGGGGAAAACACAGTTTCTGCCTATCTTAACCGATAGTAAAAATCATCTTCTTTATTGCGAGTCGCAAAAATAGTTAATACAGGAACTATACATAAAAAGTTCGTTCTCTCAGTTAACGTTAACTAAACGTATGTTTCAGGGAACCATAGCAACCGAGGCCCTGGGGGCCTCGAGTCAATAAATTATAAAGATGGCTCATCTTCATCGTCATCATCGTCATCATCATAATCATCTTCCTCTTGTCGTTTGCGGCTAGGTACGTCGGGGGTGGCTCACGTCATTCGCCTCTTCTTCTGTCGGGGTGAGTCCTTACGATATTTGTGCGAAGGTTAATGTTACAAGTCCGATAAAATATTGCTGTGCCTCGAGAAATCTTTCGCTTTGCCTCTACTTTGCGACTGAAAATCCGCATCTATCTATCCCGTATCTCGGTGAGCTTATATCAATTTAACGTCTACATCGTGTACATCCGCGAGATCAGATAAGTAGTAAGTAAACAACCGTACATTTTTTGGCCGTCTAAGAGAAGTAATTCCAACGAAATGATTCAGCGTATGTTTCGGCCGATCATTTCGAGGGCGGTTATCGCGAGCATCCGATTCGGTGATTACTACATCAAATAAATCGTCGAGATCGCCGAGGGGCCGAAACGGTCGGATTTATATTTCTAAAAACTGCGGTGTGTTTCACCGTTGTAAGGATTATTTATTTACAATTAAGTACTTCGCGTGCGAGCGTTTGCCGCGTAACGGCAAATAATAATCGTGCTGGGGAATCGGCGTAGGCGGGGACGTTGACTATTTCGACACGTAACTGACACGGAGGCATCTTTCCCATTTATATATTTATCGATACGTTGAAACGCTATTACGTGTGAGGAATACGGCGTGATGAAGAAGTGCGATGCTCCATTGTTCTTTAAACGCAACAGGAGAAAAAGAAGTACAATATTATTTCCACTCGTATCGATTCGTTTCCTTTTTTCCTTTCTCTTTCGCTGACACGCGGCCTACCGATAATCCGCCGTTTCCGTTACCTTCGCGCGTCGTGTCTTCGTTAAATCGGGAAGCACTCTTGCATGAATTATATTATTTTCTCGTAATTCGGCTATTTACATGTGTCGGGCTATACTCGAGCGGGGACGCAAGAGAGCGCGCAGTTAAGCATGCAAATGTGCCGCGTCGCAACGCGTAAAATGTTAAACGTCCCGTTCCTTTCGCCATATTTTTATAGCTCCGTCCGATTTCCTCGCGAGTCGTTAAACCAGCCGCGCGAGCGAACGTCCTTCTTCCGTAATTTCTACAATCCCTGTCATTGACTAGAGATCCAGCTTCCCCCCGATTAGGATAGCGTGTCCTTCGACGACATGTTCAAATCCGACATCGAGGCACACCGACGCATCTTCCTCCTCCGCCGTTTCTCGCCGAACACACATCCGAAAACACATCCGTGTGCCCGCGTAGATTCCTCTTTCGTGTCTCAATTATCCCCCCCGTAGAATCGAGAAAAACACTTTCTCGCGATCAACATTTCTCTCCGAATTTCGAAACAGTTCGCACGTCCGTCACCTATCCGGAAGAACCGTCCTTCCACTCGTCAGAGAAGTGTCTCGAGCACTCCAAGTGCCGCTCGCCCTTTCCTCTTGATTCCTCATTACGAGGGCCGGTGACCCGAGGACACCAGCTTCCGCGACGCCCGTTCTTGACTAGTCTCGTGCCGCGGGCGAGTCTTCCTCACCTTGGTCTCGACGTGTCCGGGCCGTCATCGAGACTCGTCCTCAGGATGATTTCGGTAGACTTCCGATTCGTCGAGCGATTTATGAGGACGCGAGCAGTTTCGCCGCCGCGGTGACGTGGTGCTGATGATGATAGGGCGCCTCTTGGGCGCTGTAGTAGCTCTGCTGCTGATGCTCGCTGCTGGCGGCGAGCTGGTGAGGGTGCTGGTAGTAGGACGCGTACGGCTGGCCGACGACGCCGTCGCAGCTGCGCGGCTCCGTTTTCACGGCGGGCACGCTCCCGGTGGCTAACAGCGAGGTGTGACCGAGGTAGACTGGTCGGTCGGTCGACGTCGACGAACCCGACGACTTCGTCACCTCGATCTGATGCTGCTGCTGCTGTTGCTGATTGCTCTTTAAGTCTGTGACGGATAATATGACTTTAATTTGGTATTTGAGCCTTTAATTTGATGTTTTATATTCGATATTTCGCGACGTGGCGTAATAATTGATAAGTAAAATGACCTACATAGGCCTAGATTGGAAAAGGAAATTGCTGGATTCAAGTAAATAGTTGTTAGATGCGTTTCGCGATTTTGTTATCGTGTTTTTCTCGTAAATAAACGCGGAAACAAATGTAACTTGCGCCAACCCGTGGAGGGAGAGGATGTGGTCGAAGCGCTGGTCTCGTGGTCTCCTGTGGACGATCTTGCGTTCGGCTCCGGGGTTTTCTTCGGTTTCCTCTTCCTCGTCTGTATGCCGTCCTTGCGCATGGCCAACGGCCTGTTGACCCCGTGCAACTTGAAGTACAACCCGCAGGCGTTGCACACCGGCTCGCCGTCGTTGTTGCGCCTCCACAAGGTGGTGGTGCGGGTGCCACAGTTCGTGCAACAGAGCCCGAGTCGCCTCGTCGCGGTCTGAAATTCCGACATCTGTCCCATTTGTAACGCATGCTGTGATACGGCTCGAATCACGTAAACGTAATCTCAGACAGGATGTTCTAAGTAGGACTGATAGAAATCTATTTTAGGGCGAGAGGCGTGAATTTATCTCAGTAGAGAAAAATTCAGCGAAATTTCTCGTACACATCCCACGGCAGGTACATTTCCGAAAAAAGTTCCGAAATTCGAAAAATAGGACAACATCCCGCAAAAGTCGTAATCCTGAAAAGTAAACACCGGAAATACCAATCTCAAACATGCAATCATTCCGAAATATCGTCCCGGTACTCAATTTTCGCGATTCTGATTTTCCGGGATAATTGAATGCTTTCAATATTTCGGAAGATTGTCTCAGTTTTCGGAATTGTGACCTTTTGGGATGTCGTCCCTTCCGAATTTCTTCGAGCGCGAGAAAAAATGAAGATAGAGTGTGGTTACGAACGATCATTTGTGGAGGAACTTACCAGGCGTTTCGAGGGCTTGATGAGCGGCCTGTTCATGCCGTTCATCTTGTGATAAAGTCCGCATGCGTTACAGAGATAATGACCGGTGCCGTCCCTTCGCCAGAGCGGCGTCGATATCGCTCCGCAGTTGACGCATTCGCGACCCTCGCCGAATGGGAACTCCATCGCGGTGTCTGCAATCGTTATTTTCATCGTTCGATTAACGACCGACACCAACGGCCGATTATCTCTCATTCACAGTAGTTTTTACACGGCTTACAACGCGAAGGAAACCTCAAACCGTATATTAGAGTTGTGGCACACAGACGAACAGCAGCGGTAAGATTTAAAGGAATACCACACTCGGAAACTTCGCCAAATATTGATTTTTTCTCCCAAGTTTACGTTGTATTGGCTGGCACAGAATGACAAATGCTTTTACGTAGTAGAAGTAAGCGCGGAAATGAGTAATGTGGCGAAAAGGATGAACATTTTCAGAATTGCCGTATCTAGCTGTCAAGCTAGCAATCGACGTCAGATTTATTTTCCGCGACTCCGCTCGCATCCGTGAATCGGCGACGGGGGGATCGCGTTTTTGTGCTTTCGCGGTGAGCCGACCGGGATAAGACCGCTCTTAACGTGCTCTTATCTCTCGAGTCTCTCGAGGTCTGCCGTAGTGGGGTTTAGACAGCGCGCACCGCCGGCGGAGAATGCCGCGTGACCGACGGTTCCCGCACTCCCGGAGAAAGCATCCGCGCCGTTCTGAACCGATTCCCGGCGCTGCGCCGTAAAACACTTGACCGCGGGATCGACCGATCCGGCTCGCTTCAAAGGCGCCGCTATCACTTATCCATCGCACATGGCCCGCCGCGTGCATTCGTCGACGAGACCGTCCGCGAGGAAAGTTCCTTTCTCCCCGCGTTTTCCCTGCCCGCCGACGGCGCGAGCTTATCGGCCGCTCCTTTCCGCGCGCTTTAAGGATTTTCCGCAGATTGTAAATCGCCGATGTCGGACGGTGAGCGAAAAATCCACGAGTGAGAATTGATGCGGAATCGGGCGTCGATGACTCCCCAATCGACGGCGGCAAACGGAAATAGGCTCGCCAAGAGCGGAAGCGTAAAGATTAAGGGTAATAATGTCTTCTTCCCGAGAAGACTCCCCCGATGTTAAACCTTGAATTCTGCGACACAGTAAGGAGCTAAGCAAAATAGGCTCGATTTCGTAATTCTAACGATATAGTTGATTTTTCTTTCGGCCCTTACGACGTCTTAAATCCCCACTTTCGCTGTTTAAGTGCCATGGTAGCGTTAAAATTAAATCTGCATTTGTATAATCCAAGGTTATATATTTATATAATTCAAGAGAGAAATAAATAGTGTATTATAAGTGTATTCGTCAAAGTAGATTTTTATTATTCTGCAGGCCATCTGAGTAAAAATCAATTATTCTTAAAAACGCCAAAGTAGCATCAAAATTTCGACTCGAGTCGACATTCAAATTTCGAATATTTCGGAAGATCTGGAGTCTCACAGGGGTCTGAGATTGATATTTCTCGGTCAAGCGACTTTTTTGAAAACACTTTCGAGGCCTCGGCTTACCGAAATTCGAAAACTCGAAGTTTCCATCGAAGCTTCGAAATTGTGCAAGATTAATGGTCTGAGTAAAAAACGACGGCCTGCTTGGAAATTCCACGGGTACCCTCTCGCAGCTCGTCGTTCGTGATATCGTCTGCGGTCTCGATAAACTAATCGGCATGGCGTAGGAAATTACATGCCTCCACCGCCGTATCTTATCGCCGCGGTGTACGGGTAGTTCACATAACTTTCGTTTGTTTATCATCGCGACTTCACGCATGATGCACGCCAACGAAGCGCGGTACGCTCGAGTGGCGACGGATATCCGCGTGGCGGGCAGGTAGCGTTCGAGTGTTCGAGGTTCCTCATCGGTTCGGCCGAGTGTCTGGAGATCCCTATCGTCTCAAGTGTCATTCGGAATACACACAGACGTGTGTGAGCAGAGTTATTCTTGCCAATGCGCATTTATTTCCGCAATTACCCGAAATTCTATCCCTACATTGAGTCTCCAAGTGGAGAAAACGGAAATAACTTGTTATTCATCAAAGAGGAGACCCAACGAAGACTCAATGTAGAAGGAAAATTCCGACTTGGGGACACCCGAGGTGCCTCGAGGCCGTCGTGAATCTGAATGGTGAAACTGGTGTACGAACCATAAGGCGACGCGCGCTGGAAGCCGGCGCCGTCGTAGGCCCGCCAGGACGACATCATCGCGACGTTCTGGGCGTAGAACGGTGCTGCCGCGGCTGCGGCGAGGGAGGAGTGAGGATGCGCCGTGTGCGGGTGTCCTGCGTGCGGATGACCGTGTCCCGCGTGCGGCCCCATCGCCGCTGCGGTGCCGCTCGTGTGGCTGGCGAGCGCGTGATGCGCGTACGTCTCCACCCCGTGCTGCCAGGATGTCGTCTTTTCCCTTGGATCGGAACGTCTCGCGTTAGTTCCTTCGCTCACGGCGCGCAAAATCCCGTAAGGATCGCAATAATCCACCCACGACCGGCGAACCGTTCGACTCGAGACCTTTTATGCGGTTATTGTGCAAGAGTTTCGTACGGAAAAGTAGATTACGTACCATGCGGGCGAGGCCGAAGTGGGGAAAGAATGATATTGCGCCGCCGTGGCTGCGGATGGAATCGCCGGCCTGGACGAAGGAACGTAGACGGGCGCCTGGAGCTGCTGCCCGTGTTGCTGCTGCTGCTGCTGCTGGGACTGTTGCTGGTAGTCGGAACCTGCGCCGTACCCGCCACTTCCGCCCCCGTGGAACATCCTCCCCGAGAGCGCTACCACCACGACATCTGCCGCAGGAACGGAATACATTTCTTCTCAATTTTCAAGTGACACGATGAAGGGTGACGATAGATGTACAGGCAGGAACGAGTGTGTTTTCAGTGTCACATTAAAGAATTCACTCTGATGTATACTGAAATTTTGTATTACTTTAACATAGGGAATATATTAATTTAGCATTATATTTGTCTACTTTTCAATACATTTCCCGTGTTAAAATAACGGAAAACATTTCAATATACCATTTATAACGCAAAATATTTTACATGCATATCGCTGCTACTATTTTTGGGGGATTAAAACCAGAAGAGGATATAGTTGAGGCCGAAAACGACTGTAATCTCAATGGTATTTCTCTGAGTGCATCAAGTCGCCCTTTGATCGGTCGCGCGGAAAAGTGCGAGCTCGGCTCGCGATTTAATGATCTCACGGACGTTATAATGAAACAATGACGAGACGCGGGGCTCACCTTGATACGGATGAATAATCGTGCCACTCGATGCGCCGGCATCGACACACTGAGAGGCAAGGCAAGGCGCGAGGCGGCACTCAATTTCCGCGGCTAAAGAGTTACCGTTGGCAATCTCATTTCGCTACCGCGCAAAGATATATCGCCGACAGAGTCGCCCGGTAATAATATAGAAGCGGTAATAATACATCCTCCCGGGGCAGATAATGCTAATGGTCTCTTTAGCCGATAACCAACCGGACACATTGAGGTACCGCGAGCGTCATGTAGAACGAAGGTGCGCGACGCCGCGTGGGCCGCCCGTGAGAGAGACACCAAGGATGCTCGTGAAAAAACCATTCGAGTCTCTCCCGTCGACGGCTGGCTCTTCTCTCTCCCTTTCTCGTCCGTTCGTACGAGAAAACGTGATTGCAGGCCGGAAAATCAAAAGTCTCTCGACCGACGCGAGAATAACTGCGAAATTCCGTGTGAGGTTTACGGTGAAATTAATGAGCGCGTAGAAACCATGAGGGGGAGTCAAGGTCAACGGAGAAAAATAGTTTCGCTGCTGCAGCAAAATCACATCGTTGTTTATATGTATGTCCATTGCAAGCGATAAAAGTGCATCAACAGTTTGCATCTGTTGGCATAGTCAAATCGGTGAATTATTCGTAATTAGAGCGGAACAAAAGTTTTGTTGCCGGGATAAACGAATTCAAGACAAATTGAATTTCAATGCTATCTTCAACAACCTATTTTGACATTGAAACAGTGAAAACGGAGATTTGAGACACCTTCAGGGTCAAAGCAGGTTATATTATGTTAGTAGAATTGAAATTGAATGTACCAGGTGTAGAAGTATGAAACCGGAATTTCCCTATAGATGCTAGCCATCAGTTTAGGGACCGTAAGACCGCTTCTGCAGCGCCATCATCTCCCTCTAACAGCTGACGAAGATTTTCAACACACAACAACCCAAGTTCCATACACCGGTATATTTTTCTATAACCTTAAACATGTCGAGTTTTGTGCCTACGAACTACGATTTGCGGACAGCATTGGTTTTTTGTTATCGTTTGAAGAAAACTGCTGCGCATCGAATGCTTGTCGAAGCTTACGGTGAACATGCTCTTGGTAAAACACAGTGTTTCGAGTGGGTCAAAAAATTCAAAAGTGGTGATTTTGACGTGAGAAACCACCGAAAAAGTTGGCGGACAACGAATTGCAAGCCTTATTGGATGAAGATGATATTCAAACTCAACAAGAACTCGCGGATGAATTGAATGTGACGCAGAAAGCTGTCTCAATTCGTTTGAAAGCCATGGAAAAGATTCAGAAAGTGGGAAAATGGGTTCCGCATGAACTGAATGAAATACAGCAAGAAAATCGAAAAACCACTTGTGAAATGCTGCTCGACAGATACGAAAGAAAGTCCATCGTATCATGACAGGTGATGAAAAATGGATATATTTTGAGAATCCTAAGCGTCAGAAATCATGGGTGAATCCAGGCGAACCATCGACATCCACTGCAATCGCTTTGGAAAGAAGACAATGCTCTGTGTTTTGTGGGATCAGAAGGGTGTAATCTATTATGATCTGCTAAAACCTGGTGAAACCGTTAACACTGATCGCTACCAATAGCAAATGATCGATTTAAATCGCGTGAAAAACCACCGGAATATGGCAACACAAAGTCATTTTGCTCCATGATAATGCCCCATCACACACAGCAAAACGGGTCAGGGAAACGAAGGATCGAGGCGTTCAGTTGGGAAATACTAACGCATGCGACTTATTCTCCAGACTTGGCTCCGTCCGATTATCATCTATTCGCATCAATGGGACACGCTCTCGCTGAACAACGCTTCGCATGAAAATGTACGAAAATGGCTCGATAGCTGATTCGCTTCAAAAGAAGAAATGTTTTTTTGGCGTGGCATTCATAAACTGCCGGAGAGGCTGGAAAAATGTATAAATAGTAATGGACATTATTTTGAATAAAATCTTTTTTATCATTTTCAAACAACAGACGTGTAATTTTTACAAAAAAATTCCGGTTTCATACTTCTACACCTGGTATCTTAGCTTCTATTATGTTGTAGAAATAAAGGTTTAACATAAAGCCGAAATTTCGACTCGGGTCGAAATTTTTGTTCTATATTAAATTTACATGGAGAAAATATTGTAATGAAAATTACCACAAAATTTTGTAACGCTGGACCATGTTGGAATTATGACTGAAATTATTATGTGCGTTGTAATCTTTAGTGATGTGCACACACATAAAATACATCATTAAATACATCATTAAATATTACAACACGTATCATAATTTCAATATGGTCCAGCGTTACAAAATTTTGTGGTAATTTTCATTACAATATTTTCTCCATGTAAATTTAATATAGAACAAAAATTTCGACCCGAGTCGAAATTTCGGCTTTATGTTAAACCTTTATTTCTACAACATAATAGAAGCTAAGATACCAGGTGTAGAAGTATGAAACCGGAATTTTTTTGTAAAAATTACACGTCTGTTGTTTGAAAATGATAAAAAAGATTTTATTCAAAATAATGTCCATTACTATTTATACATTTTTCCAGCGTTACAAAATCTTGTGGTAATTTTCATTACAATATTTTCTCCGTATATTTGGTTCTGCATTAAATTCTTCATTAAGTCTTATATTGTGCTCCTTTGATACTACAGATAGGAAGTTATTTTCATTTTCTCTCCTCGCAGACTTGGCGTAAAGTTGAAAATTTCACCCCCGGGAGGTCTAAATATCCTTTGTAGCGCTAATTGAACTCCCTTGATGCTACAAGTGGGAAATTATTTCCGTTTTCTCCACTTGAAGACTTTATGTTGAACCAAGTAAATTTAACGCAGGATTAAAATTTCGACTCGATTCGCTCTCACAATAATTACGGCAATTACGGTCAAATAGGCGATTTCCATTCGCGCGCGCATATGTCAAGCCTGCCGTTGCGCGATTTTACGGTGCGGTATGGACTTTACGACGATATTCGCCATTACCGGCGTTACTTCGCGGCATGCCGAGAATTTATCTCACGGTATTGTTAGAAACGAAAACGGCACACACGTGGTCCGCGATACATATATCGGTATCTCTCTCGTCGCGCAAGCGGCACCGCGACCATTTCGGTACGTGAGTCCTGCACCGCCCACGAGTCTCATTGTCAGGATACGCATCTCCTTGAGAATAGCCGCGCAGTCTCGCCATATCTATGCATTCCATTTGAGCACGATGCATGGAACACGCTGTGTTGTGCATCGCGAAATTTAGAGGATGCGCACACTCCGTCGAGGGTAAGACTCGCTCATGGCCCTTTGTCCTGCGAGCGGCGGAACGCACGTTTGACTTTTACTTCTCACCTACACCTCGGCCTACGTGCTTTTTGACTACGTCGAATAATTCTCCCCTTATTTTTATCGCTTCGTCTGAATTATCGTCGCGGTGCTTCTTAGATCTCTCTTCCTTTCTCTCTTTCTCTCACTCTCTCTCTCTCTCTCTCTCTCTCTCCCGTGGGACGCGAAACGAAAGTGACCGTTGCGTTGCAGCGTAACATTGATACTCGGTACCGAGGAAGTAAAAGTATCGATACCTGACGAAATTTAAGCATCCCCAAGCGCGAGATAACCCCGGCTACGGGGTGAGTAGATATTGAATTCCCATACGCGCCGCGCCGCCCACGGTCGTGCCATTGTCTGGGACGCGGAACGTTCCCCGGTGAAGCGACCGGAGAGAGCGCCGCCATGGTCGTCGGCACGTTCCATGAGTCGGCCCTCCGCAACGGGTCCAGGAACCAGCCTCCGAAGAGCGGAGGGCAGGTAATTTATGGCCGACGTATAGCTCGCGCGCCAGAGGAGAGAGCACCGTGTGGTGCATCTGCGCGCGACGGGGGGAGAGAGAGAGAAGGGAAAGGCATTTATTAACATTTTAGAATAAACTCCCGGAGGATCTATATTCCCGTTACGAGTCTCCTTTGTGCACTCACACACGCTTTCCGGTCCCCTCTCTCTCTCTCTCTCTTTCAAAGTATAATTTTATCGAGGAGTGTCTTTTTTATTTCCTCCTTGGTTTCCCCCGGAGTTCTTATAGAGATCTCCTTGATTATTTTTCTCCGTTAAGATATAATTCGTAGTTAATTCTCCTCCAGTTCGGGGCTAGTTCGTAGGGTTGAACGCACGGTCGCGCGCAAAGTGGGGGGAGGTGTTCGGTCGATGAAGGCTGAGGAGAAACGGAGACAGAGAGAAGCGCGGCGGTACGAAAGAAAGGGGAATCGCCGTGTGCCGCGGAGAGGGGATCGAATGATAGTCCACGTGTCGGAGTGAGAGAAACGCAGGCTGAATAAAGGCGTCCGACACGCGGGAGAGAGAGAGAGGCACGGAGACGCGCAGACGCGTCTCCACCTTCGGCGCTCGAGACTCCGACCGTGTGGAATCGGGGATACCGATAGCGGCCATTGCGGCCACGAATGAGCCACGTGTAGGCGGGTCCAAAGCTTTCGTATACTCACGCACACGTACGCGGGT